AAAACTACCTTCCTGTCACCCTCCTGATATTGGTGAGTTACCATTCTCATCATCCTTGACCATTGACCATGTTGGCTGAGGCTGATGGGAGTTGGAGTGCCACAGAATCTTGAAGGCCACATATTGCTACTGCTTTAGTGAATTTCCGTCACCTTAACCTTTTTTTTTCAAAAAAAGAGAAAAAAATAAAAACCTATGAGCCTGGAGTAGCTTATGTTCTCATTGACATACAACTGAAATATTTTGAACTCCCTTTTTCCAATTTCTGATTAAGAACATTTCTGAAGCCTTTCTTGCCCTAGGGAAGACAAGACACTGCATGAAGGGATTTTAGGGAGTGAGAACGTGATAAATTTTTGGTGACTCATGAGTGCCACCTATTGGCTTTTGAATAAGATTTGAAATCAAAATTCATATGGGCCACCTCACAGGGCCTTCCTGAGGCAATCTGGCAGGTATTACATTTCCTCACTTATACACCTTCCATGTATTATAACACTTAAAAAAGTAGCCATTGTTTTATCTGAAGGGGTAAAAAAATAAAAAATCCCATGAATTATTAACATGTAATTATTTGGCAGAAAACACAAGCTACAGGTTTTTCATAAAAGGGGATTAATACTTATTATCCGACCTGGGCTTCAAACTGGCCCGTTTCTGTAGTCAACTGTGTTTGGGAAGCTTCTCAGCATACAGTGATGAAATATTCATCATTTGCTTCTCCCCGCTTCCCCAGACACACACACTCTCTCTCTCTCATAGGCAGCGAATGTTTTTTATTGTTATGACAAAGTAAAATACTGCATTTGTCAGGGAAAGGGGGGGGGGTGTTAAAATGTTACCAGAGAAGAAGCACAAATTAAACATAAAAAGGACAAACCATAGGAATACAAATAAAATATATAAAGGACAAAAAATAGACTGGATAATATTTTTCAAACTAAAAATAGGGCTTGTGTGGATGTTTGGAAAATTCCATTTCTGTAACTTTTTTAAAGGAAAAGAATAATGTGAATCGCAGTGAGAGATTGTAGAGACCAGTGCTATTTTTACAGAAAAAGAGGTGCCGAAACTCACCATGAACACCTCCCTTGTTCTCTTATAATAGCAATGACGCCCACCTGAGAGGTGCTGGAACTGAGGTCCAGCTGAAAAAAGCCCTAGATTTCCCACCCCACCTCCTCTCTCCTCCCCCGGCTTGTGGGTCTGGGAGGGATTTAATGAAGAGCAGCCAGCAGCTGGGATTGTCAATGAGAGCTTCTCTTGCTGTTGGAAGTACGTGTGGCAGATAAACTGTGCAACACAAAGACACACTTTGCAGAAGCAGCCAGAGAATGCAAATCTCAGTTTCCTCTTCTTGTTTGGAACACTGAGGTGCCAGGATTTCCACTGCTTGCTCCATCCCCCACTCCACATACCCTTCTAGCTCCAATCACAAGGGCTGTAAGAAACAACGTCAGAGGTTTTTGCCCAATCCCAGCTCACTTGCCATCCAGCAACCATTTTACAATTCATTTACAGGGCTTGTTGGGAAATGAAATCCAAACATGGAAAAGAAAGAAAGGCAGCAATGTCCATCAACTTTGTGGGGCCTGGTCCCTTCAAATATTTTATTGGAGGGGAAAGGACCTAGGCCCCAAGGAGTTCGCATCTATGGGCGCTATAGTAGGGTTGCCATATTTCAAAAAGTAAAAACCACGACACCTTGAAAGGTTGTTGAGCTTTTTTTAAGGAAACCCGAAAATGGTTGACAAAAAACTGATTTCTCAATTCACTTGCCTAAGATCCACGACAAAGCGCCACATTTGGGAAATTCCCCACAGACGTCAATTCCCCCTTTGAAATCCCAGTGTCCAGGAAAATCCTGACATGCACCATCCAACATCTGGAGGGTCAAAAGTTCCACACACCTGGTTGTTTATATGATCACCTTCAACTCTATGGTTCTATGAGGTAACATACACTCCAATTGTCCCTATTTAGGTTGGTGGCCATCACTGTTTCCTGTGGCACAGTGTTCCATAGTTTAACTACGCATTGTGTGAAGAAGTACCTTCTCTGTCTGCATGTTCAAAATACCCCCCTCATATGGATTCTTGGCAGGAAGCCATGACAGTTTAAAGTTATATAATACTGCTTTAGATTTATAATGGAGGTGGGCCCAAAGACTGCCATCGTATACACACTTCCCTAAGTCCCATTGAACACAGCTGGATTCACAGCCAAGCAAATCTGCAAAGGGCTGCACTGCAAGGCTAACCAGGAAGCTTCAAAAGCTTGCAGCTGTTAGCACGGCTTAGCTTACACTGCTGGCAACACATTATAAGGCAATTAGTATATCTTTAACTGAAAGAAGAAGTGCTATTTGCTTTTTTTCCAAGTGTGGGACAGATTATCGCCTCATAAATGAATCGACCATATGTTACGCAGAGAGCCTTTCCAAATGTGTAGTAGGAGTGGGAGGAGATCCTTAGGGAGAGATCCTTATGGAGGAGCAATGGGGTCGTAAGCATCCAAATACCCGTTGCTGGGAATTGCAAGAGAGGAGAGTGCTGTTGCACCAGGGCCTACCTGCGGACTCCTCAAGAGACATCTGTTTGACCACAGTCACAACAGGATGCTGGCCTAGATCATACCCTCCAACATTTCTCCAGTGGAAATAGGGATGTCTATCATCATCATCATCATCACCATCATCATGTTGTTATTTGTATCCTGCCCATCTAATTGGGTTGCCCCAGCCATTCTGGGCAACTTCCAACGTATATAAAAACATAATATACATTATTATATAATATTCAGTACGTTTTTGAGCACAGTACATTTCCGAGCACAATTCAAAGTATTGGTGCTGACCTTTAAAGCCCTAAATGGCCTCGGTTCCAGGTGACCTGGAAACAACAACTAATCCAGAATGTGGCAGCTAGACTGGTGACTGGGAGCAGCTGCCGAGACCACATAACACCAGTCTTGAAAAACCTACATTCACTCCCAGTACGTTACCTGGCACAATTCAAAGTGTTGGTGCTGACCTTTAAAGCCCTAAATGGCCTCAGTCCAGTATACCTGATGGAGCGTCTCCACCCCCATCATTCTGCCCAGACACTGAGGTCCAACACCGAGGGCCTTCTGGTGGTTCCCTTGCTGCAAGAAGCCAAGTTACAGGGAACCAGGCAGAGGGCCTTCTCGGTAGTGGCACCCGCTCTGTGGAATGCCCTCCCACCAGATTTCAAAGAGAAAAATAACTACCAAACTTTTAGAAGACATCTGAAGGCAGCCCTGTTTAGGGAAGCATTTAATGTTTAATAGACTATTGTATTTTAATATTCTGTTGGAAGCCGCCCAGAGTGGCTGGGGAAACCCAGCCAGATGGGCGGGGTATAAATAATACATTATTATTATTATTATTATTATTATTATTATTATTATTATTAAAACATTAAACATTTTAAAAACTTCCCTATCCAGGGCTTTCTTCAGATGTCTTCTAAAGGTTGTAAAGTTACTTCTCTCCTTGCTTCGGGGCACTGGTGGAGGAAGGCGGGTGCGGGAGGTGCGGTGCACACTGGGTTTCAGCCGTGAGGGCGGGTGACATCGCTGCACCACCCCCACCCTCACTCGCTGTGTGGGCAGCACCCCCGGATGCTCGCTGCATGGGCGGTGGGCCACTAGGGACGATGCTGCTGCGGGCGGCTAGTGGCACCCCCACCCCCCACGCTCATTGCACGGGCAGCTAGAGGAGCCCCTCCAGACGCTCACCATGTGGGCAGCTAGCCCCACCCTCGCAGTGCTCCAGGTGCCAGGGCAGGTAGCTCCGCCCCTGCCTCTGGGGTCACGCAACTCCACAACCCCCAACATTTCTCCGATGAAAATAGGGACATCCCAAGAAAAAGCAGGACATTCTGGGGTCAAATCAGAAACTGGGATGGCTTCTGTAAATCCGGGACTGTTCTTGGAAAATAGGGACATGTCAGAGGTCTGCTAGATGGACCGTTGGCCTAATTCAGAGGACTCTGCTTAGGTTCTTTAATGAGGGGCATGCAAATAACACTCTTTTATTTTGACATTGCCACAGCATACTAATGTATATGAAGGCCTGGACTTCTCCTGTAAATTAATGAACTGTGCTGTGTGTGATTGAACTGGCAAAATTTAGAGAATCTTATGATGAGCATTTTATGGAAGAACATATGCCTTTTTTGGACTGTTTAAAGAAATATTATCGTATTGCGAACAGGATTGGAGCTATGAGCAACAGAAGTAATTGGATTACAAGATTGTGTTTTTGATTTGATAGATAGGGTACAGCAGAAGAGGAGAAACAACTCCATGGGGTGGACAAAAATAAGGGAAAAGAGGAAATTGTGTTTTGACTGTATATGTTAAAAATGTTTAAACTTAATAAAATATAACTGAAAAAAAGGAACTGTGTTGTATGTGCTGCAGAGCTTTCAAAGCTCAGTCTTAGTGTTTTCCAGAGATGGGCAGTCATTGCAATCCTGTTCTCCATTATCATTGCTGTTGTCATTAAGTCTGCAAGCTTGCAGTCTGGAATGGAATGACTTAGAGGGCTTCCTTCATTGCATTCCCTCAGCCTATTATAATCCCTTCCTCTTGTCCCTCTGTCCTTCACCTTCCCTCACAAGCCCCTGCCAATGCTTACCAAAGACTTCAACAAGGAGAGTGGTCAGTTCCTCCACAGGCAGCCCTCTGCGTTTCCATGTTGGGTTTTGTGGCCGCTTGCACATTGCCCAAAAGAGAGAGGCTGGGCACAGACCCACATAAAATTTTCACGTACTATTTAATAGGTGCAGAGATGCAAATTTTGAAATCGTTACCCAATATAAATAGAAATATTGTGGCGCTGTGGTCTAAACCACTGAGCCTAGGGCTTGCCAGTAGGAAGGTCGGCGGTTTGAATCCCTGTGATGGGGTGAGCTCCCGTTGCCAGTGTGAGAGCCAGTGTGGTGTAGTGGTTAAGAGCGGTAGTCTTGTAATCTGGGGAACCGGGTTCGCGTCTCCGCTCCTCCACATGCAGCTGCTGGGTGACCTTGGGCTAGTCACACTTCTTTGAAGTCTCTCAGCCCCACTCACCTCACAGAGTGTTTGTTGTGGGGGAGGAAGGGAAAGGAGAATGTTAGCCGCTTTGAGACTCCTTAAAGGGAGTGAAAGGCGGGATATCAAATCCAAACTCTTCTTCTTCTTCTTCTTGCTCGGTCCCTGCTCCTGCCAACCTAGCAGTTCGAAAGCACATCAAAGTGCAAGTACCTTCCAGCGGGAAGGTAAACAATGTTTCCGTGCACTGCTCTGGTTTCGCCAGAAGTGGCTTAGTCATGCTGGCCACATGACCTGGAAAAACTGTCTGCAGACAAACGTCAGCTCCCTCAGCCAGTAAAGCGAGATGAGTGTCGCAACACCAGAGTCGTTCATGACTGGACTTAACTGTCAGGGGTCCTTTACCTTTTTATTGTATATCTCACCATAGTGGGAAGAGTGTGAGAAAGACACTTGTGCCTCTCTGCACAGTCTGCTGCCCTTCTGTGGCTCACTGTTGATGGGCAACTCAAGTTCCCTCCTGTTCTCCCTTTTTATGGTTACTTTGTGTCTCAATTAGATTTGGAAGCACATCCATTCAACAGGGGACTGTCCTCTGACAGCCCTTCAAACAGAAGACATGTCCTAAAGCTGGAAACAAGGCCATATTTGTACTGGATACAGACACTTTCTCAGAGTCAGACAATCTGGGAAAGTGCTCTGTATCTCTGTATACAGATTGGTCTGTATCTTCAGCAGGTAAGCTCATTTTTATTCCATGCTCAGTGTTCAGAAAAGCAATGATCTGCTGTTCTCTGGCAGCTAATTTGAGGCAGGAGTTGAGGGTGGAAAAGCAGGAGGTTTTTTGGGGGGGAGGACTCAGGAAGGATGGCAGATGGATTAGGTACATAGGCTGATGGTTCCCCACTCTGAGTTTGTTGAAGTAATGGCCCCGACTTACATATGCAGACAGTGTATACATATTGAATATTCAGAGCACTGAAAGCCATTTATGACTGATATGTAAATGAAATAATGTGATTATTGAGTGAAGAGATTTGTGGAAGTAGAGAAAAAGTATGTAAATGTAAATAATCAGCAAATGAATGCAAAAAAGGCACCACTGAATGATTTCTAAGGGCCTATATATATATAAATGCTTGCATTTTCAACTAAAAATATAACACAGCAATTGGAATTTTTGTATGTCATCCATTGCTATTGTGAGTACTGCACTAGCTACCTAGATGTACTGGGTAGCTTTTTAAAAAAGCATGCAATATAGTATGAATACATTTTAAATATTGTATTCTAACAAAAAGATAGATGTTATGATCACTTGTTCCACCTGTGTTACAAATAGGTCCACAAAACCCATCCTGGAAAATAAGCAGCTTTTAATAACTTTGTTTTTTAAATAAGGACTTGTTTTTAAGGAGACCAGCAGGCCCCAAAATGTGCTCCTAAAACACAACAGAAGCTTCCTCCTATCTATCCAGGGGTAAGGCAGAGTAAGTCAAACTTATGAAGCAGAGTGCTAATTCTTAAGATCTGCTATTCATAGTATTAAAAAGTTCCTTTTCCCTGTTGCTCCATAATGACATTTTAACAGATCACAGCTCTGCAAAATACGTTCTCTAGTAGACTCTCCAGCACCATGAAAAACAAGGCTGCGCTTTATGATGCATCAGTTACCACACCCTATTAATTCTTGAGAATTTATCACAGGAGATTAATTAATACAGCATTGTTATCCCTCGGATGCATAGCGCTTAGGTCAGCAACAGTGGCATTTGCCAAGACTTCCTAAAAGGTGCACTGAAACTTTGGTACTTTATGAACCAAACAAAAAGATAAATAAGGGACCAGTCCACGATAAATTATAGAACTGAAGGCCTGTAAAGGACATCATTTTATTCTCTCCCCCGCCCCCCAGTGTAGGAAGAGAATAGCTAATATGCTGACTGAATTACCTATCCATTGAACTGGTTTATGTTGTAAAAGAGACTCAATAGTGTTCTCTGGCTACTAACCAATGTAGTGTGGCCATGTGTTCTACTTTACAGAGGACAGTCCTCTATTTGAAGGCACCACTCTCTGCTTGAAGGTCTGCCCAGTCCAAGACCAATTTAAAGATAATGGGAAGAGGTTGCCGGCAACAACAAGCATCACCTGGAAAGCAGGTAGTCAGGTCATCTGGTCAGTCTTTCATATTAAAGAGAGTTATAGTGTATATCTGCTTAAATTATTTCTAAATAATACTGTATTTTATGCTGTTTTTTGTTGCATCAATTGTTTTAAATTTGTTGTTAGCCACCCTGAGCCCGGTTTTTTGAACCGGGAAGGGCAGGGTATAAATACAAATTTATTATTATTATTTATTATTATTAAATAATTCTTTCTAAATGTGTATCCATACATATACATCAATATATGCAATTTTCCTTCTACTTCTGTGATCTTTAAATGGTCATCCTGCATGAATGACAGGCACATTTAGGACAAAGATACAGAGGAGGGCAACCAAGATGAGCAAGGGTCTGGAAACCAAGTCGTATGAGGAATGGTTGAAGGAGCTGGGTCTGTTTAGCCTGGAAAAGAGGAGACTGAGATGAGATGTGATAGCCATCTTCAAATATCTCAAGGGCTGTTGCATGGAAGATGGAGCAAGCCTGTTTTTTCCTGCCCTGGAGGGTAGGACTCAAACCCAATGGCTTCATGTTGCAAGAAAGGAGAATCTGACTAAACAGCAGGAAAAACATTAGGACAGTAAGATCTGTTTGACAGTGGAGCGGTCTCCCTGGGGAAGTCATTGGAGGTTTTTAAGCAGAGGTTGAATGGCCACCTGTTGTGGTTGCTTTAGCTGAGATTCCTGCATTGCAGGGGGTTGGACTAGATGACCCTGGTGGTCCCTTCCAAGTCTACAATTCTATGATTCTAACACACCTTGTTCACTCCTAACCTCTGTTTGCAGCACATTGTGGATCTGCCGTAGAATTCTAAAATATTAGCATTTTGGATCCATGGAGTTGGCAACAGGGAGTTTCTAATGGTTCTTTGAAGGTTTTTGTGGCATGTGTTCCTCTTTGCCTAGTTCTACTGCTGTGCTTTTGTTATTAATTAGATCAAACCAGATATCCACCGAGACTGCAAGAATGGTGCGAATCTGTCAAGTCCTCGTGAAGACTTCAATTGCTTTTGTTAGCTCAGTACCTCGTTCTGATGACCCTTGTTATGTAAAGTGTGCTATTTTGATCAAAGTCCGCCGTGCGCTCAATACAGATTTTGACAAATTTACTGCTGCTATGTGCAAGCGTTATCAATGGGCCTAATTCTGGGCTGCCAGAAAAGAGCAGTTTAAAAATCTAAAAAAATGTTACCGAGAACAACGAAACTTAACACATGCCCATGTTGCAAATTATACCAGTTAACTGTCACAGCTTCTCCAACAGTGAAGTATCAGTTCATGAGGGTGCTGAGACAGAAAGAAGATTCCAACTAAACATCAGGAAAGATAATGGTGTTGAGGATAGAGAAGAGAACATTATTATTTTATTTATTTGTAGGCATATTCACCGAGGAGAAGGATCAACAAATTCATGACAGCTAAAGAGCTGTTTGGCAGTGGAACAGTCTCCCTAGGAGGTTGTGGACTCTCCTTCCTTGGAGGTTTTTAAAGCAGAGGTTGGTTGGCCATCTGTCATGGATGCTTTAGCTGAGATTCCTGTATTGCAGAGGGTTGGACCAGATGACCTTTGGGTCCCTTCCAACTCTCTGATTCTATGATTCCATGAATTCTTCATTTGAGAACCATCCCCCGTTCCTGGCAAAGAGGGAGGGGGAAGGGATAGAGGGTGGGATCCTACTGTGGAGGGGCCATTGTTTTTAGTGGATCCCACCAGCAGAGTGCCAGAGTCATGAGCAGGATGTTGGCAGCACAGGGAAGGAGCACACATTCCAGTGTCCTAGCAGCCGCACCTCTCTTTTCAGAGTGTAAAGAAAATGTAGGATTATATATCCAAAGGATAACACAACTGCCCCCCTCTCCTGTCTGTTTCAAGAGTGTGCAGCCTGTGGAGCCAGACAAGGAGGAGGAGGAGGAGGAGGAGGAGGAGGAAGAAGAAGAAGAGGAAGAAGAAGAAGAAGAAGAAGAAGAAGAAGAAGAAGAAGAAGAAGAAGAAGAAGAAGAAGAGTTTGGATTTGATATCCCGCTTTATCACTACCCTCCCTAAGGAGTCTCAAAGCGGCTAACAATCTCCTTTCCCTTCCTCCCCCACAACAAACACTCTATGAGGTGAGTGAGGCTGAGAGACTTCAGAGAAGTGTGACTAGCCCAAGGTCACCCAGCAGCTGCGTGTGGAGGAATAGGGAATCGAACCCGGTTCACCAGATTACGAGTCCACTGCTCTTAACCACTACACCAATGAACTATACAATCGACAATGCTAAAAGCACCTGAAAGATTTAGCCACATTAGAGTAGGCATTCATTGGCTGTGTTTAGCTACAGTTAGGTTGCCTGCCTCCTTGAGTAGTGGATGTTAAGAGGCATCATTCAAGCAAGAGGAAACTATTGTCTTAAGCTGAAATCACCAGTGGTTCCAAGAAATGCATAAAGCAAAGTCTGCAGGGGAGGGGGGAATATAATGTACTCTTGGTTCAGTCAGTTCTTTTATAGCCATGCCAAAAAAACACGAGAGGTATGATTTAGACGTAAGCCATGTTTATGTGTTTCTGTCCATGGCCTTCATCTTTGTCTGCCGTGCAAATTGGTATGGACTTAATTGTGGGCATGAGTGAGCTGTAGAGATGAGGGGATTCAGACCACTGGAGCTGGGTGATGATAGCTCCTTAAAAGCTTTCTGCATGACTCAGAAGTACCACGCATTTGCAGCCATCCAAAGACTTAGGAAAGCCAAGGAGCTAAAAGGCCAGGCTATATACACAGCATGCAGTTGCACATAATTTGACGGCAATCATTTCTCATTCCGAAAATGCAGCTGCGGAGGAGAAGGGAAGTGGAAGACTGGTGCAGGGGAAGATATCCATTCCCCACACTTTGAAGGGCAAAAAGCAGCTGGCATTTGTGTGATCTTTTCCACCAGAAAAGCCTTCACTTTTTCATGCACCCTACCTGCCTGTAGACTGTCTTGCCAGAGTGGTGCATGCTCTGGTTATTGCTTGCTTGAATTACTGCAATGGGCTCTACGTGGGGCTACCTTTGAAGGTAGTTGTAATGCAATCAGTGACTATTATCCGGAATCTGTCAAACAAAAGACAAGCCACACTCTCAGATTTCTGTTTTAGACCAACTCTTTCTGTGACACATGCATGATGTTTTGGGGTGATCTTTGGCTAAGGGGTTGGGCATTTGCAAAAGTCTTAGCACACCTTTGTTCTGGGTCCTCCTTGTAAGGTGGGAGGGGGGCCCTGTTGCAACAGAAAAATAAAGGCCTTCCTTGCTTTAACTGCAACTTGCCTCCACTCAATTTTCTCTAACTGATAACAGACTTACAGGGACTCTGAATCCATTGGTGGAGAGTTGGGCTGTAAAAGCCAACCCCAAGCTTTTCATTAACAGCACAAAATACATTTAGTTTAAAAAGGAAGAAGAAGAACTCAGGCATCTGGTGTAAGAGGGGGCATTAAAGTCACTGCAAGAACTGCAATGTTAAAATTGTGTGTGTGTGTGTCTCTGTGTGTGTGTATAAACAAAAAGCACAGCATTTGAAGAAGGTCTCTAAGGTTCTTTGCTTAAGTTAGGGGAAGATTTCCTACTGGGTTTCCCGTTTAAGAAAGCTGTAAGCCTTCAAAGAGTGTGCACTAATCTATCACAGGGTAATATTTATTGTACTCCGGGAGACTGGCAAACTCTGTTGACCTTTTCAGAGTGCTATATCTACATTGTCTGATCGTTCCATCTTCCATTCGCTAGGCCTTCTTTTTTTATACCCTTAAATAGCTTGACTCCAGTGCAGAAGACACAGGGGCCAAGTGATATAAAAACAAACTCCTGTGGCAAATCATTCTTTCTCCAAAAATGGCCAGCTGTCTGAAGCACCTCCAATAGGTATTTCCAAGCTCCTGCTGTTCACATTAGGGGTTGTCTAGCTTTGTTGCTCTTGAAAACTGTAAGAGATCCAACATAATTTGGACTTTATTCGGTTGGATAGTGTACCTGGGCGCCTGATATGTATGGGAAAGAGCTGGCTTCCTGCTACTTAGTAACGTTCTCAGGTTTTGTGCCCCTATGACCCTTCCTCCCCCATTTTTTGAAGGGAAAGAGGAATGCTTGTTCACAATTCACATCTTATTCATAGCTGCCATTTGACACTCTGGGCCTATTATGCTGGCTTCTGGGACAGGCAGAATGCACACCACAATTTCACGAATGTTCCATGGGAGCAGGGAATTTCTTTTTGCTCACTTAATCCAACACTGAGAAATTTTCAGCTTTTCCTTGTTAAAAAAATGTAAGTTTCTAGACCTGAAGGCATATTCATACCCTCCAACATTTCTCCGATGAAAACAGAGGTGTCCTATTCAAAGAAGAAGAGGAGGAAGAGGAGGGGGAGGGGGAGGAACAGCAACTCCATAGAAAAGGGGGTGGGGCATCAACAGAAATAAGAAAAAAGACGAACAACAATGAAGAGATACATATGACAAAGACTTGGAACTTTTTCATTCTGAGGGAAGGGCTGGGGCGGGTGGAACGGGAGGCATAACTGAAATATACTCTGACTCGAGAGTGGATTTCATGCTCTTTATTCAGCTCATAGTGGGGAGGAGGAACGGAAGTTCCCCCAGAATGTCTGCTTAATATACATTATTTATACAATGGGCCCCACATGATTGGCTAATTCCGGGATTCTCCTGTAGGCCAATCAGGTTGCAGATTCCCTTCCACCTGGAGCTGGATTGGGTGGCTCCTGTGGACAAATCAGACTGCTGCATTCTGAATCCTATTGTTCTAGGACCAATCAGCCTGCTGCCTTTTGGATCCTATTCAACTCAGTACATAACAATAACAAATGTGACTTTTACCTTTCTGTGATAGATTACATTCAAGGTTTCTACACACAAATATAAGAGCTGTGATCATAGCTCAAGGACACTTTCCAGCCAGATAAAAGCACTCTGAGGGCACACAGTAAGGGAAGTGAGAGTGATTGGCCTAGGAAGGGGCTATAGCCCACGGAGAGTCACAATGGCCAGATAGAGAGGGTGGGGTGGGGCTGAGATACTCAACCCATATTATGACATTAAAGAGATATAACAACATAACATAGGAATTAACATAGGAATCTGCCTCATACCAAGCCAGACCACTAGTCATTGTTGTTGGTGTTGTCTACACTGACTGACAGAAGCTGCCTAGTATTTCAATCACTCAGATAACTTTCCCAGCTCTGCTGGGACATGGAGAGGATTGAATTTGGGGCCTTTTTTATTGAAAACATATGCCAATCAACTGAACTATGACCCTTGGTTTTGAGTGAAAGTACAATGTACATGGACGCGGGTGGCACTATGGGTTAAACCGCAGAGCCTAGGACTTGCTGATCAGAAGGTCGGTGGTTCGAATCCCCACGACGGGGTGAGCTCCCATTGCTCGGTCCCTGCTCCTGCCCACCTAGCAGTTTGAAAGCACGTCAAAGGGCAAGTAGATAAATAGGTACTGCTCTGGCAGGAACGTAAATGGCATTTCCGTGCACTGCTCTGGTTCACCAGAAGCGGCTTAGTCATGCTGGCCACATGACCCGGAAGCTGTACGCCGGCTCCCTTGGCCAATAAAGCGAGGTGAGCGCCGCAACCCCAGAGTCGGTCACGACTGGACCTAATAGTCAGGGATCCCTTTACCTTTTCCTTACAATGTACACTGTGTTTGACCAGGGCTTTTTTTCAGCTGGGCCTCATCGGAACTCAGTTCCGGCACAATGGCATTCTAAGAGAATGAGGAGGGCGTTCATGGTGAGTTCCAACACCTCTTTCTCTAGAAAAATAGCACTGGGTATGACCAATGCAGAAATCTGTTAACATTCTCCCTAGAGAGTTCCTCTCCTACAGTAACTAGAATGCAGAGCTTCTTAATTAATCCCAGCCAATAAATACGGAGTGGAAAATATTTCTGAAATATTCTCTTGGAAAAAGCACACACGCACACACAGCAAAATAGATAAGAGAAAGAAATGAGAAAATAAGGAATGCAATGAGTGGCAGCAACTACTAGATGAAAAGAAATTGAAAATGTGACTCTGGCACAGCTTCATCTGCAATAGCATGATGAATTTGGGCACCACATTAACAGGGGAAATTGGCAAGTTAGAAGAAATTCAGAGAAATACAGCAGATTATTCAGGAGGGCAGAGTAAGCAGGAAAACTTAGATGAGCATAAGATGAATATCATGACTAAAGCAGAGACTGCAGGTAAACCAGGACAACAACGGCACATATATCCCCTTTTCTTCCAGATTCATCTGCACTGTGATATTAATTCTGAACAAAATGTTGCATCACAAATGGTTCTCCTTTGACATTATTCATACCACAAATCCAAGCAATTCTCCCAAAGTGCTTTTATATAACCAGCAATCACCCAAGTGCCCAATAGTTGCTTCTCCCACCTCACGGCCTTTGGCTTTTGAGGTGCCACAAGGTTCAATCTTGATGCCCCCTCCCCCCCCCAAGAAATATAGCCACATTTGGCCAAAGAGGAAGCCTCAGTGTTGTTTTACCCCTGAATAAGGAAAACATTTGCCCCTGCTCCCAAAAATCTGAAGTTCATAACCCTGCAGCAAGGTTAAAAATAGAAATCTTTGCATTCCATGGGGCGTATCAGCAACTGTGCAGCCATTCTAAAAGCACTATATGCTGTGAAAGGCAATGTGTAGGTGTTTAGCTGGGTGACTGCTGTTAAATAGCAATGTGAATCCAATCTCCTCTCCAAAATGTAAAGAGAATGTGCTCATTGAGTGTTACTGGGCAAAGCATGTTATAAAATGCAATGATCCTATGCCCTTTTAAAATGTATTGTTTGTTTTTTGCAGGGTGTGTGTGTTATTGGGTTGTTTTTATTTTGAATATGTATTTTGTGGTTTTATATTTTGATTTTATTCTGTGAACTGCCCTGAGACCTCCGGGTATAGGGTGGTATATAAATTCTAACAAGAACAATGCAGCATTTCACAATTGTTTTTGGCAGGCTTTGCTGGACTGAAAGGCATTTAAAGGTTAAACAATGGGTTGTTAGATAACTGAGCTGACAAACACATGTCAGCATTTAAAAACAAGTGCTTTACGCAGCCACAGAGACAGTGGCTAATCTTTTGGGTGTAAGCATCAATTGCTGGGCATCAGAAACTATGTGCCATATGACCCAATATCCTCAGGGGGAGGGGGTGCAGGGTGTATCTTCTCAAATCTATAGGAGACATAACTTGACATTTTGAAGTGTAGAACTGCTAATACTGTGGGATAAATCCAGCCTCATATAACCAACATGCTTAACTCTAATTGATGCATGAAGGGGCTAAGACCATAAAGTAAGCTGTCCTGCCAGGCTTAGCTAGGTCACACCCTCTCACCTTGGGAGAAAGAGTTACCAAACACTTTGTTATCCCACTTTCCACCATCTTTTTCCACCCTGTGAACCAACCAGGAAGGATGTATAAGCTAAATGCTCCAAACTTAGACAGCATGGCTTCAGCAAGCCATCTCTGTGTTTATATATACAGTGGAACCTCGGGTTGTGGATGTAATCCGTGACAGAGGCACATCCACAACCCACAGCATTTGCATCCTGAAGTGCCACGTCTGCGCAGGTGCGATTTAGCACTTCTGCACATGCGCGAGCGGTGAAACCTGGAAGCAACCCATTCCGGTACTTCTGGGTTCCCCCGGTCCGCAACCCGAAAATACATAACCTGAAGCGTCTGTAACATGAGGTATGACTGTATATCATTTAGAAACTTTTACCACTTTTTGAAACCAAGTTGTACTGCCTCTCTTTTCTTACTGCTGTATGGAAAAGCACATGAATCTGTTCTTTGATGATTGTAAGTAAACCATTTTTGACTTCTCAAATGTGTGCTCTCTTTCTCTGCTAAGGGGAAGTAGGAAACTTTGGAAGAAACTTAGAAGGGGGTATTTTAAAGGCCCAAAAGGCTATATTTCCATGCTTTACTTTGCTGCATATTTTGTGATTTTAATTTTCTGTTGGGGCTTTCTCACCAAAGAGTACTTGCCCCAAATCTGGATCTAGGCATCCAGGGAATTCTCCTTTTATTCTTTACCCAGATCCCCCAAAACCAACAAATAGCCTATCCATTTGAGTTGCTCCCAGTGCAGTCATTACAATGACTCACCTAAAGGTTCAGAGGTATATTTTTTCCTCTCTCTCTAGGCAAAGAAGTTTGAATTCAAAGCCCCAGAGGGAGCACTTTGAATCCAAATCACTTGCTCTGCAGGGAGCGGAAATGTCTGGAGAAAGCCCTGCATTGTGCTATGAAGCTCTGACAATCAGCTGGTGTGCTTCCAAATACAGCAGTTCTTTCCAAGGATATCAGGACAAAATGAATGAGGAGGTGGAAGGAGAACCAAAACAGTTTTATTAACAAATAAACAGCAGCCATACAAAGCATAACATAAAATATACCCGACAGGGGCTACCCAATCTCCCCTTCAGCTGCCCGGAGCCCCAGGTAGAGCAGCAGGAGAAAGACCCTGACCATCGGTCTCCCAGCATCAGGTCCTTTGATCTGGGCAGAAGCTCACCTGGCCCCTCCCACCTATGACTTTTATAGCCTGCCTTGATATAATCAAGTGCACCTGGCATTAAGGTAAAGGTAAAGGGACCCCTGACGGACGACTCTGGGGTTGCGGCGCTCATCTCGCTTTATTGGCTGAGGCAGCCGGCGTACAGCTTCCAGGTCATGTGGCCAGCGTGGCTAAGCCGCTTCTGGCGAACTAGAGCAGAGCACAGAAACGCCGTTTACCTTCCCGCCGGAGTGGTACCTATTGATCTACTTGCACTTTGACGTGCTTTCGAATTGCTAGGTGGGCAGGAGCAGGGACCGAGAAACGGGAGCTCACCCCATCGCGGGGATTCGAACCGCTGACCATCTGATCGGCAAGCCCTAGGCTCCGTGATTTAACCCACAGCAGAGCGGCTGAGAGTCTCCCACTACCTGCAGCCGCCATCCAGCCAGCACTTTCAACACAGAAGAACCCAATAAACTCCCGACAGGTGTGTGAAACACAAGAATCAAACTGGGGATGTTAAAGGGAAGGGGACATGCCACCTAACTCCTCGAAATACAATTGTCTTCTGCATTTCCACTACATCTGGTAGTTGGAATTTCGATGCCTCTTGCAGCTGATCGACCATGCCTGCAAACCCATTTTGAACCCAGCCACAACTTTCCCTACCCCACACCTGATGTTTTCCATTAATAGAGGCACCCAGATGGATGAAAGCCCTCCTTATGAGTGCAAAGATACCAAACAGGATTGCACCCATAATGTGTCATTTTTCTCAGGAGCAATGCACTGTACCTACACAAGCTATTCAGTCTTTTAGCAGCGTATGGAGACAGTAAAGCTGAAAGCAGGGGAAGAACTGTATGATCTCTCTGTAGTCTGCAGAATTTACTGCCCAACTGTGCCATCCTACATATTTGATATACTAAGGCCCCCAACTGCTTAGTTTCTGAAATCATGATTAGACTTTGAAGCTGCCAGGCAGTGAAGGATTCACTGCCAAAGGAGAAGCAATCCTAATTTTGCTCATACAAAGGCTCCAGAAGACATTTCAAGGGGGAACAAAAGAAACAGTTTCTATAGCTACTTCTCTCAGTATATGCCAGCAATATTCTGAAATCCTGTCAATGTGGAAGAAATATTCAGTGCAATGTCCTTAAAAGCAATCGAGTAGCGGTTCGAGATAATGCGTGAATAAGGGCACCTTTCCCAAAAGGCTGCAATATTGCTGGTGCACCATTTATAAGATGCCTAGCAGCCATGCCATTAATCCCTGTATACACTTGTTTTCATAACTGTAGCCCCGGCATCATGTTTTTAAAATGGTTCACAAAAGGAAGAAATTAGCTGCGCTTTAAGTCAGGATGTTTGAGATACGTCATTTACAACAGAGACAGAACATGGATCCCCAATGGTTCAATTAAGTTTGTCGACAGGATGTATTTTAGCAGATTAGGATAAAGTGATGTCTCGATGACGTGGATTGTGATTATAAGAGATGCATCGCATGAATTAATACAGGGTATTAGCTTCCCTTTCTTTCCCCTCCCTTCTATCCATTGTAGTTTTCCTTCCCCCCCCCCTTTTGTTTCAGCATGTTTGATGTTGTTTGTATTTTGACTTTATTTTTAAAATGAATAAAGTTTCCTTAAAAAAAAAAAAGGCAGAGTGGTGTGTACCCCCCAAAAAAACCCCAACAACCATAGAAATGGTTTTCCTTTGTGGATGAAAAACAAAGTCTGACAAGAGATAAGAATACAGTGGTACCTCAGGTTACAGATGCTTCAGGTTACAGATGCTTCAGGTTACAGACTCCGCTAACCCAGAAATAGTACCTAGGGTTAAGAACTTTGCTTCAGGATGAGAACAGCAATCGCACGGCGGCAGCATGGCGGCAGCGGGAGGCCCCATTGGCTAAAGTGGTGTCTCAGGTTAAGAACAGTTTCAGGTTAAGAACGGACCTCCAATATGAATTAAGTTCTTAACCTAAGGTACCATTGTATGAATTTTGTTGTGTGTAGATCCTCAGTGAATCTACTGAGGATGAATGGATTTAAGTTTGTTGTTGTTGTTTAGTCATTTAGTCGTGTCCGGCTCTTCATGACCCAATGGACCAGAGCACGCCAGGCACTCCTGTCTTCCACTGCCTCCCGCAGTTTGGTCAAACTCATGTTGGTAGCTTTGAGAACACTGTCCAACCATCTCATCCTCTGTCATCCCCTTCTCCTTGTGCCCTCAATCTTTCCCACCATCAGGGTCTTTTCCAGGGAGTCTTCTCTTCCCATGAGGTGGCCAAAGTATTAGAGCCTCAGCTTCATTAGTCATGTGGATTTAATTAGACATGCCTAATAAACACTCAGATGGGAAAACAGGATCTGCAGAGGGGTGAGAGAATACCAGGCCAACATGCAGCCAAGGAATCCATGATAACTCTTAAGCATGTTTTCTTTTGCCATGGTTGCCATATTTGGAACCAGGGAAGGTCCCTCTGGCCTATAAGCCCCTCCCAATGCTCATACGGGACATGAGTCGAGCTGAGACCCAAGGAAATGGCTCTCTTTCACCAGCTGGTCTCAGAGAATCCTGAGATTCTTGGGCTGGGGGCGCTGCCAAGGAGTCACTTCCAGAAACCATTGTGAAGATCAGCACCTTGGTCACCACCCCTGGTCAGCTGTGTCCTGCTGCAAGTGACAGAATAGCAGCTACATTACCATTCACATATGGTGCCACAATTTGGCAGTTCTTAGGGTGCAGTTCTAAGGACTGTGATCACGTGGCGTTCAGTTGTTGGGGCAGCTATTTTTGTGTTTATATACAGGATTGCGCTTGGCCGAACTGTCTGTGCATGTTTACATGCCATTGGTTTTGTGTATATTGGACATGCTGTCTGTGCCTAGTGAGTGAAGCATGCTGACTGGGTGACATTGACAATGCTACTATGAATTGCACGACTGCTATGAATATCATGTGCAGCTTTATTTTCCTTTCATCAGACTCTTTCCACTGGCCCTAGCTCTTCCCAAATAGAGTTTGGATACAGCAGATTTTAAGCCAGAGTATCCCCAATGTGTGAAGATCAACCCTATCCATTCTTAAGGAAATCAGCCCTGAGTGCTCACTGGAAGGACAGATCGTGAAGCTGAGGCTCCAATACTTTGGCCCCCTCATGAGAAGAGAAGACTCCCTGGAAAAGACCCTGATGTTGGAAAAGATGGAGGGCACAAGGAGATGGGGACAACAGAGGACGAGATGGTTGGATAGTGTTCTCGAAGCTACCAACATGAGTTTGACCAAACCTGTTTCCTATGTACACAGCTCTTGCTATTCAACACGGTGCATTATCAGGAAATCATTTGTTAGGTGAGCATTCACATAACAAATCAACAATGTCCATCAATTCCTATGGAAAATTTTCTAATGTGTTCCTGACTACTCAAATTTTGACCCCAAGATAATGGAGGGAAACCAAGGAAACCCCTCTGAAACCTTGCAAAAGGCAGAGAATGAAGGGGGAAATGCTCTCATTTGTCCAATCTCTTCCTTTCCCTCACTCCCACCAGGGTTTCTAGAGAAATGGCTGCTGTGGACCAGCAAAACACAAAAAGTAAGACTTGCGTAAGGCTGTTTCCAGTACTACACACAGGTCTGGCTGTTTGGATATCTGAAGCTATGGTGTGTATAATGGGTTTGGGGTGCTAATTCCTCATGTTTCAATAAGTGAATTTCCATATAGCGAGTGTTTGGATAGAGGGAACTGAGTGGAGCTTGAATTACTCTGCCTGTCAGATACAACCCTCTATCTGCCTGACAATTCCCCACTTCCCCAATATCCCCCACCCACCCACCATCCCATATTGCTCAGGAAGTGCCTCCTAAGAGGTATTTTGGAGGGGTGCAGTTAGCTGCAGGTCGGAGGAGGGCATCGAAAACTCTCCTTTCACCATCTTCCTCCCATTCACTTAGGAATGAAGCCACAGAGTTCACTAAGAAAACGATGAGTAACTAATTATTTATTATTTCAGATAACTAATTATTTATTAGAACATTAAAGTAGTATTAAATGAAGATTAATCATCAAGTCGGTTCACAGGGTGCCCAGTAAATCTGCTACAAAACTAACTGAGTCAGGGAAGAAGAGAACGAGGCATGCGCCATTCTCCTTAATTAGGATGTTAACTTCATTGGGGGGGGGGGGAGGGTTGTGAGGAAACGGTCTGTTTCGAAACATCACATTTGATATGCACACTAAATCCTAAGAAGCAGATGGATTTTAATTGGGAAAGAAAACAGGCTTTAGAAGCTACATGAATTAATAATTAGTTTCCTCTTTGAGAATTAACCTTTTTCCAGGAGAGTATCTTCACACTGTTACCCTCTTTGTATGCCGAGAGATATCCCCAGAACACATTTAACTTCGTTATTTCTGAAAAAGAATCAAAATAAAACTAAGTACAATAGCGACGGCTGAATTTAGACTTAAAGGAGCTAAGTCTCTGGAAGTTTTGCTCTCGGTATGCTGCCCTTGAAGCCTGTTAGACGTAAGAACAATATTTGTATTTCCGTTTTTGAACATTCATGACTTTGTTCTCTCTCTCCCATCCCACCCCCTTCAAGTGGTTCAGAGCAGCTGGAGACATCCTGTTTGCCTGCTTAGCACAGATTGGAGTCCCCCTCGCCATGCCCTCACCTCGATGATGTCATTCCACGGGCAGAGGGCTTCTGGGAGCTGGGATGTGCTATGGCATGTGTCCAGTAAGTGCAAGGCTGTACTGGCAGAGTTTGGGAGGCTCACTTGAAACTCCCCAGTCAATTTGAGGGAAGCAAGCAGGGGGTGGAGAGTGGGGGAGAACCCTGTTTTGCTAGCAGAATTGATTGCATCCATGGCTCTTTCAAACAGATGCAGAAATTAGCAATTGGTCTTACCGCTTCTTCCCCCCCCCCCCAATTTTTTTTATTGATTTTCCAAAATTTTAAACAAACAAACAAAAATCATAATTGAACATAATCCAATCTTAGTAACATTGTTAGGTGACTTCCTAGGTGAATTTCAGTGTATATCATTGTAACAGTTTTCCAAAACCAATTTTTCTTGTAATATTAACTTATTCACTTAACATCTTTCTTTCTTTTCATTTTACCTTAAAACATATTATTCTCTAACATCACCTATTTAAATCCTAAGCCTTTCTGGTATTTGCAAGTTTTTCCAATTAAGTTATCTTAACATATTTAACTAGATAGTCTTTGAATTTCATCCATTCCCCTTGGTACTCCTCCTCCTTTGGTCTTACCGCTTCTGTGGACTATGTGTGGGCTAGTAAAACAAGTCTCTCACCTGCTACTTCTGCAAGGTCAGACGTTCATTTTGAACACAGTTGACTCAACTCCCCAATGTAGCACTGGCTGATGCCACTGTTGGCTCCACGGGGTTCTTTCCTTTTCATGGTCTCTGACCTGGTTCCATGCTAAGAGCATCACAGGGTAACCCTGGGCGTTCATCTTATTCCACTACCATCACTACAGGGGTCCGCTTCTTCTTCTTTGTCTTTCTGGAACAGTGCTCCACTTCCCCTCTGTAAGTAACCTTGCTGTGTAGGTCATGTTGAAGATTATAGCACCCTGCTGAATCTAAGAGCAGCCCGGTAGCGTCATAAGCAGCCAAAGAAGATTGCGTGCTGAGGTCCCCCAAAACACCCCTACCCCAATAACTCACACATCACTCATAAATTTTTGTTTAAGGTTTTTGGCATAATTTTGGCCACAACTTTATTAAACATACAAAATTGTGAGTGGTTGCTTAGGCATTGGTTAAGACTATCTGTCCCCCCCGCCTTGGGGACAGCACTGACTCCTGGATTCCAGCGAAAGCCAGTGTGGAGGAACAAGATCAGGGATAACTGGAGCTGCGGCACAGACCCTCAGCTACTCCCCGCATGCTCCCAGGGGCTTACGCGGCCCAAACCCGATTCCAGGGGTTTGGACGAAAGGATGGTAAGCCCCTGAATTCCTTTAACGGAATTCCCATGCAGCAGCAGCATTGGAGGGGCAGGCACAGCCAATCCATACCCCTCCACCAACCAATTTAAACCAATGCCTAACCGCCACTCGAGCCCTTACGCTCGCTGCCAACCACTCACAAACTAAACCACACCCTCAACTTAGCCACCACTGCATTCAACCAAACGTCATTCCCAACTGAGGAAAGATGAACCCCATCCATCCTATATAATTCAGTGGCTTTGAACGTAATAAAAGGGTGAGGAATCACAAACCCACCCAAACCAACCACCAACTTGTTCACCGCAGAATTAATCCGCTTCCTAACTCATTCGGTGGCAGCTGGGCAGGGACTACCCCGCCATATGTGGCGTTGAAGCAACTGTGACCAAATTATTTTAGTTGCAGGCACCATGGCCACCAATTCCCTCAAATCTTGTAAGATAGCAACACGCAATACATAACAAGAAGAGGAACCCATATCATTCTCCCCAAGCTGCACCACGATCGCCGTAGGAGGGCCATCCAGGAGAACGTGCCTCTGCATAAGTGGTAAGAATTCCTTCCACCGCATCCCCCTTCTGGCGATCCAGGACACCTGTACGTGCTGCGGAAGGCCAAGGCCAACTCCCAATCCAGACTGACGAGCTCTATCAGCAGCCCAATGCACAATACTGTGCCCCACTATCCAGATGCGGATAGCGGCTAGACCTAGGGTTAAAACAAGAAACGTAAGTACACAAAGTCAAAGTCATTTCTGCACATACCCTCTAAACGCATCCGACTTCCACCGGCCCAGGTCTTTAATCCTTTCCACCGATAAACCCCAATAGGCAGCTGTTGTTGCAGTCCCAATCCGGAAGGAATGAGGAGCAAATTCAGAAGCCACATGGCCACATGCAGCAATAACTTTGCGCAACACCTTGGTGAACTGATGACGCGCCAATGGATGCCCGTTCTCATGAATAAACAAAGGGCCCTCACCTGTAGGTCGCATGGCCAAATATTTCTTGAGATCCTTAACCGGGCAAGGGCCCCCCAACCCAGTTGCCGGGAGCCGAATAACCGCTCCCCTACCTAGTTAATCAGTTTTTGAATTCCTGACATTGACTTGCAGTTCTAACGGAGACAGACTCACGTCCTGCAACAAACAACAAACCCCTTGAACCTCCGTCCCGCTTAGGCTCAAGGACCACCTCCCCCACTCTCAGGGCTCCAAAAAAGGCTAATGAAAAGGCTGCGGAAAATAGCCGAGCCTCAAACCTGGACCAACAGATGCTCCTCAATTTACAGCGCATCTTTGTCAGCAAATCAAATGTGATGGGACGCTTGGAAATTGGCCTGGAAGGACAAAGACGCCCCCAGCCCTCAAGTGCCTTCCGCACAACAAACTTCCCACATGGATCCTTGTTAAAAAATGCCCTGCTAAAGAAAGAAATTGCCGCTGAATGAATTCTCAGCGTCCTGGCCGCCCGATGCATCTGAAATAGATGCGCCAAATACTGGAGCACCTGAGTGGTAGAATGGGGGGAACTAACTTCCCCTACGACTGGCTGCCCATTAAATAGTAAAAAGTCAGTCCAGGCCTTTTTATAAGACCTAAGCGTGGAGGGGGCAATAGATGCAGCTACTCCCTGTAAAACTAAGTGCTGCCAAGGTTCCAGAGATGATCCGGGAAAAATTCCGGACGGTCTCGAGCCACTGGCGCCAGGGACCTGAAACGCTCCATCTGAAAACAGGACAGAGCATCAGCGATCTCGTTAGATATGCCAGGAACAAAACGAGCAGAAAATACAATGTTAAAACGCAAGCAGTGTAAAACAAACGCCCGTAACAGGGCTGATACCCTAGGGGATCGTGAAGACTGCTTGGCTAGCACGTTCACCACCGCCTGGTTATCGGACCAAAAACAAACTAGACGGTCCCTGAAATGCTCGACCCACAAATGCACGGCCACTACAATGGAAAAAAACTCAAGAAAAGTTAGGTCCCGAGTTATAGCTTCCCCACACCAAGCTGGAGGCCAGCGCTCCGCACACCACCTACCGTCCCAAAACAGGCCAAACCCCAAAGACCCTGCAGCATCGGAGTGCACCTGAAAATCATTGTGGAGGTTCAAAGTGTCCTGCCACAGAGACACCCCGTTGAATTCCTCCAGGAATTCCAACCAAATACGAAGGTCAGCCCGCACCTGACAAGAAAGGCGCACCCTATGCTGAGGGGCCCTCAAGCCTGACATAAGTCTGGCCAAGCGGGAGCAGAATGGTCGCCCCGGGGCGGCCACCCTGCAAGCAAAATTCAGGTGACCTAGCAACGACTGCAGCTGTCGCAAGGTAACCTTCTTCAAGGGAAGCAGTTCCTCAATGACCCCTTTTAACGTGATTATCTTATCCGCCGGCAAGCTGGAAGTTTGGGCCACGGTATCCAACAAGATACCCAAGTAAGTCAGCTGCGTAGAAGGACCCTCAGTCTTCTCCGCCGCCAACGGCACCCCCAGTTCTTCTGTTAAGGAAGCAAAGGCCTGCAATAACACAACGCAGTTCCCTGTATCGCTAGCCAAGGCCAATAAAAAATCATCCAAATAATGCGTAATTCCGCCCAAACCAGTTCTTTTGCGCAAGGCCCAATCCAAAAATGAACTAAAACACTCAAAGGCCGCACAGGCTACCGAGCAGCCCATAGGCATGGCCTTATCAAAGTAAAATCCCCCTTCAAACTGAAAACCCAGCAACCAAAAGTCATCGGGGTGAATTGGAAGCAGCTGAAATGCAGATTCAATGTCGCATTTGGCCAGTAGGGCACCTGTCCCAAATTTCCGTATCATCTTGATCGCTTGATCAAGAGAAGCATACTTCACCGAGCAAAGCTCTGGGGGAATAACATCATTTACTGATGTGCCTCTAGGGTGAGAAAGATTATGAATCAGGTGGAATTCCCCCGGGGCTTTTTTAGGCACTATGCCTAAGGGTGAAATATGCAAATTGGGAAAGGGAGGAACAGCAAAAGGGCTGGCCATACGACGTAAGGCCAGTTCTTTCCCGATTATCTTACGTGCCACCTCTGGCATGTCCTTAATGGACTTCTGGTTCGCAGGGTTCCTGGCTACCGGGGTTGAGACCACCGGAATTCTGAAGCCTAAAGAAAAGCCATCACGCAAATAAGACGCCAAGTCCCGGTCAGGGTATGACTGCAACAAAAAAAGTAACGGCTGTAGCCGTACTGGGGTATAGGCTAAGGAGGACAGGATACTACTTTCCTGCTCCCGCAGCTGGGGCCTGGGGAGCGGCTTTTGAGGGCTGCTGAGAGCCCCCCCTTTCCAAAAGGGCCGCCGGCCCCCCGCACAAGCGGATGCCGGATGGTTCCCTGAACACTTCTCACACACATGTGAGTATCTGCAGGGTTGCCGCAGGAAGGAACCCTTGTTGAAGTCCCAGCAAAACAGCTTGCGACCCACCTTTGCTGGGACAGCCTTAGGTTTCTGTGGTTCTGGAGCCTTTTTGTCAATGCGTGGAGCCACATACGTGGTCCACACATCCAAGTCCTTCCGATCCCAGCGGGCCGTAGGAATCTTGGCAGCCCTGCGTCTAAAATTCTCATCATAAGATATCGCAGCAGCTTCTCCGGCCATCGTGAGGGCCGCACGGACTATAGACAAATACACCCACAAGTGCAGAGATCTCCTAGGATAGGCTGCAGAAACCACTCCAGCAAAAACCTGGAAGCTATCCAACCAGCGTTCAAATGTCCTGTCTGCTTTAGCTATGCCCACCCGTTTTTTAGAGGCAGCAAAGCCCTTTTCTTGGGGCTCCTGACCGTCAAGTGGAGGGGCCAGGCTAAAGATATCAATGTAACGGCCATTCAAAATCCTGGACCTCAAATTGGCAGACAAGTGGGCACCAGGTATAAGATCTCTAGCCGAATTGGTGGAGACTTTTACGTCAGGCACCAGGACCCCATCCCGACACTCTTGCACCGCCCCATACTTGGCCCTGTGAGAATTTGCCCTCCGCTCCCAAACCCACTTTGGGATCCCTGAGGTCTCCCCAAAGCCCCAATAAAGCTTAAGAGAAGCTTCCTCATCACTACTGGAACTCTGGGAAGAAGTACCTGAGAAGGACGAGGTGTCCCTACGTCTCCGCTTGGCGCGCCTCCTGGAGCTCTTTTTGTGGCGGCGGTGCCCACCAGAAGAGGTCTTTGGAGGTGGAGGAAGGCTGTCCTCAACCGAAGACTCAGACATATCGCCTTGCTGCACAGCGCCTGGAACTGACTGAAAGGAGACAACCTGTGAATGATCCGGAACCAAACTCACAGCTACTGAAGACTGCGCAGGAGAACCCCGCGCAGCCTGGCCCCAGGTTGAAGCCCTTCTCCTGGCCACATCCCCTGGCGCGACCCCGACCCCTAGGTGCGGCCTCTTTTCTGCCTCAAGAGGCAAAATGGCGCTCCCGCCAAAACGCCTCAAAATGGAGGGGTCTCTGAGCACCCGAGGACCCAATGCCCTCCGAAGCCCCGGAGGTGGATAGGGGGGCTCACAAGGCAATATATAGCGCCGAAAATGGCACCGCGCAAATCGGCTGCGCTAACACACTCACGCAGCGCCTCCGGCCTGTAAATTAAAACTCGGAGGCACCGCGCGCTGGCGCGAGCCAGCACCCACCACTAGCGGCGGCGATGAAGAGGACGGCCTGAGAGGCCCACCACGGAGCACGGTAAGTCACCCCGCAACACCGACGGCCTCCCCGGCCGCCTCTGGCGGCTCGGGACAAGCGTGGGGGGGAAGGGGCAGAGAGGGGGGAAAGGGCCAAGCAGGGCCAAGCCAGGCCGTGGGGCGATCCCCCGGCGCCCGCAGCCCGCAGAATGGAGGGCGGGCGAGCCCCGACCAGCTCTTTCCTGAGGTGCCCTTTGCGATCCCCGACACGGCGCGGCCTTCAGCACCACGCCAGCGGCCCCCCGAGACGCTCAACCAAGCAGGGTAGAGCGTCAGCTGCCGCCGATGTCCCTAGGCAGGCTAGGCAAAATCCCCCGGCCCGGGCCTTTAAGCTCAGCCAAGAATCGGGCCGTAAGCCACCCGGGTCCAGGAGCCCCTTCCGCCAAAGGGCGGCCGGGTAAAAATTAAACCAGGACCAATAAAAGAGGTTGATAGAAGGCAAGGATGAATTAAAGAAGGAATAATAGAAAAAGAATGGAGGGAGGGAAAGGAAGAAAGGGGAAAAGAGTATACAACCAATCTCCAGCTGAAATCGCTCCGGTGCTGATCCGGTGCCCACAGCGAAAGAGAAAGCAGCTCGCTGTGCACCCTGTTTAAATAACCTCTGTTCCCACCCCCAAATTGGCAACATCAAATTTACCCCAGCAACACCAACCACCAATCCAGCAAGGCCCCTTCAATCCATCCTGCCTGGCAGCTACGGGGTGCTTTGCCTGGCCCCATCCGCGACACGTGCTCTCCTTTAAAGAGAACACGCTTTACAAAAATGTTCAGATGTTCTTGAGAAATGTCTGGACGGAGATATTGGAAGTCTATAGCTCAGTTTTATAGACTTGCCAACATGCATCCTGTTCTACAACGTACAAATGATGTCATGTGGAACAAAGACTATGGCTGTATGTACACCCATATTTAGAATGGGGGGAGGGGTGTTTTCAGTTCATTTCTATTGTTTTATATGTTTTGTAAACCACAGTGAAGTTTCCTGCAATCAAATGCTATATAGATTTTATAAATATTTCTTTTTTAAAAAATAGAGAGAGTAGGAGGTCATACAAATTGGATGTGTTATCATATAACTGAACACACCAGAAATTATGTCAAATGTTACTATATGTCCATTGGGGGTTACAGTATTATTATTATTATTATTATTATTATTATTATTGGTACATTTAGGGTTTGTTGTTGTGCAGGGGAAGGTTACTGATATTATTTTTTTATCTTGATTTTAGATGTCTTGAGTTATGTGGAAATTGTTTAATTTGGTTGTGTAATAATAATAATAATAATAATAATAATAATAATAATAATAAATTTATTATTTATACCCTGCCCATCTGGCTGGGTTTCCCCAGCCACTCTGGGCAGCTCCCAACAGAATATTAACACGATAAAACATCAAACATTAAAAACTTCGCCAAACAGGGTGGCCTTCAGATGTCTTCTAAAAGTCAGATAGTTCTTTATTTCCTTGACATCTGATGGGAGGGCGTGCCACAGAGTGGGTGCCACAACTTTTCAATGTTTTGTTTATTTTTTATGGCTGCTTTTGCAGTTATGTAATCTTTTTCTTTTTATGCAGTTATGTAATCTTTGGCAGTTATGTAATCTTTTGCTTATCTTTTATGGCTGCTTTTGTAGTTATGTAATCTTTTTCATGTAAGCCGCCTTGAACATGGTTTTACGTATGGAAAAGCAGCATACAAATAAAATGGTATATGCATGATGTATTGTTGGAGGGGAAAGCACCTATATGAGTATATGAACCAGTCCTACAAGTCTATCCCATGCTATCCTGGAGGGTTGGCCAATGGTAAATGTGGTCCTCAAACCACCCAAGTTGGTACAGAGAATGGTTTAGTATTGCTTTAACCCACAAGTGATCTCCAGAGCATAATGTTCACTAGTTTCCAGATGGGGTCTTCCTAAGAGGAAAAGCTGTTCACACCAAGACCCTTCTTGGGTTTTGCTTGACACTGGTGGCTTCTGATGAGCGGTAGCAATAGAGCTCTTTAATCAGCTGGGGCACCTTCCAATATTGCTCTAATAGCACATAGGGCTGCTTTTTATTAGATGGATCTCTATAGGAGCCTTGGCCATTTAAAAAGAGAGGGACTGGGGTTTTCTGCTATTGCCCTCTGAGATGCCTGAACTGGAACATTATAACTGCCCAGTGTTTAATCCAATATGTACATTTGGGTCAGCTCAAAACCAACACAAACCCTTTAAAATAAAATAAAAATATTTTTGAAGTATTATTAGGTTTTACTATTCTACATAACCTTAACGTTTCCTTCTCATTCCATTAGCGATTTCCCTATCCACATTTCTGCCCCCTCCCCCCTTGCTGATTACATTTCTTCCATTAAATGGAAAGAAAGCAAGAAAATTACTTTTGTCACTTTCTGAAGGTTGGTGCTTGAGTTTCACTTCCATTTATGGTTTTATCCTCACATTTGGGCTTTATTTCCTTCAGCCTTTTATAATTTCCGTAGTGATTACAGTCCCACTTACCATTTATAGATTTTAGCAGCCTCAACAAAGCTTGCTGCCTATTTTTCTTTTATCTGACTTCTGGAGCTCTTGCTTCTGTTATACTGTTTATGGCTGCTCAGAAGGTGACATGCCAAAAAGCTGGATATGGGCAATTATCCCAACACCAAATACAGACAAAAGAAGGACTGTAAGAGCTCCCCCAGTGTGACACAGTCTCAACAGTCCTGAAGGGGTTACTGCATTAATAATGGCCTCTTGCCCATAAACATCCCAGAAGAATGTCAGTTGTTTGGGCTGGTTTCTTCGTTACTTGCCTTTTGAGGTCAGGGCACCTGCCTGTTTAGATCGAAATCACCAATTTGTTTTATAAGACTACAGAGTAGACATTCCTCAAAGCTTTATGGCTTGCAGTCACCGCCACAGCTTGTTCATCTCTTGAGTCTAAAACTGCAGAACAATATCTTCCTTTGCACTCAGCACAGAAACACAGGTTGTATAAACTTGGTAACGGTCATTTATCTAGAGCAGGGCGTCCAATGTGGTTCCCTCCAGATTTAGCTGGACTACAATGCCCATAATACCACTCAGAGTCAGGCATGGGATTTGAAATTGTTTTTAAAATATTTGTTATACATAACGATTATTTTTATAATTTGTTTTTATTGTCTTGTGGAATTGCTGTAAGCTGCTTCATTGGAATTGAGCTATAAAATAAAGTAAATCAACAGCATTCCTGACCATTGGCCCTTCTGACTAGAGCTGAAGGGCTTCGAAGTTCCTAATGTCAACTCCTGTAATCCTTCTTTTGTTTTTAAACTTTAAAAAAGCACTTTGTGCTTTGGGAGCTTTGAAATCCACCACATATGAAAGAACATTCCCTCTCCCTCGAACCCTGAAGCAGTTCCAGCCCTCTGGCACGTGGAGGATCCCACCACAATGTTACACGGCACTCCGGGTGTGGCGCCAAAACAGTTAGCTGCCATGCAGCTGGGGCAAGAGCCAATAGCCGAGCCGAGCCGAGCGTGAGCGCCGCGGGCTCTTCTGTTGCTGTGGCTCGGTGTGAGTTCTGGGGTGAGCGTTGGAGTCCGGGGAAGAGCCGCCTGCAGCAGAAGAGCCTGTGGCGCTCTGACAGGCTCTGCTCCGCTCGACTGTCGGCGGCTCTTCCCCGGACTCCAATGCTCGGCCCTGGACTCTCGGCCTGGTGTCCCTGAGAGCCCAGCGCCCTGGTGCCGTGCACCCCTAGTGCCAACGGATAACACGGCCCTGCTCCTGTATAGGATATAGCCAGTGCCAGATTTATGTATAGGCTAAGTAGGCTGAATCCTAGAGCTTCTAAATCTAGGGGGCCTCGCCAGCCTGCCCGCTCCCCAGCAGGCAACCTCCCCCCTCCCCTCTCCCAAAATTGCAAACCCAATACTTCATGCAAGGGCAGGGAAACTCAGGCCCAGCAACTATGAGACTCAGGGCTAGCCAGTGGGGGCCCAAATTGAAGAAGTGGGGCCCAACTTTAGGGTTTTTTTTGTGTGTGTTTTTGTAAGGCCGCAGTTCACAACCAAAAGTCTGCAAAATCTCACTGATATAAATAAAATCCATCTAGATTGCACTGGTGTGGAGGCCTCTTTAGGAGCGGCCCGCAGGGCCCAATTTGGCCCAATTGTTCCAATTGCCTTAAGGTCAGCCCAGGCCGAGAGTCCGGGGCTGAGTGTTGGAGTCCGGGGAAGAGCTGCCAACAGTCGAGTGGAGCCGAGCCTGTCAGAGCGCCACAGGCTCTTCTGCTGCAGGTGGCTCTTCCCCGGACTCCAACGCTTGCCCCCAAACTCGCACCGAGCCACAGAAGCAGAAGAGCCCACGGTGCTCCGACAGGCTCGCTCCGCTCAGCTGTTGGCTCTTACCCCAGCTGCACGGCAGCTAACTCTTTTGGCGCCGCATCCGGAGTGCTTTGTAATGTTGTGGTGGGATCCGCCATGCGCCGACAGCACCGAAGGCAGCAACAAAACCCGACGAATAGGAGCACACGGATCCTGTCCAGAGATGTTGCCTCTGCGGCAGGCAAGAATGAATATACACCCAATCCCTGACCCAAAATTCCACCTATACCTCTAATCAATAAAGTTGTGGCCATTTTTGACCCAGATCATTGTCTGTTGGGTTCATTATGTCACACATCACAGTACTCACTGCATGGGGGAGGGTGGGACTGCGACTGGTATCACAAAGCCCTTGGAGGCTCCACCTCCCACTAAGCCATTCAGGATCCACCAGCATACATCATCAAGCACTGCAGCTGAAAGCAAAAGTTAGAAATGTGTTGTACATGTACTGCAGCAATTTAGGCACACGCACTGCGCCATTTGGACCTGGTCTGTGTAACAATCTGTCTCTAAACACTTATTTGCTTGGGCAGCAGGTCCTGTGAGCTCCTCTAACTCCTGACATGCTGCAAATTCACATGCTGAAATTTCACATGCCAAAATCATATTTGGTGTTATTCTAGCACACAAATATGGCTCGCTGTGCAGCAACTCAACAAATAAGTCCAAACAATGATCTTTAAAAGCAAGATGAATACGCCTGTAACTACAAGGTGATTACAATTATATGGCATACAGTTTGTATAATTACAGGGGAAACTTCCCCTCCTAATTGTGTTAAAACTCAGAGAGCAATCCATCAATGCTAAAAAATTAGTCTTAAATGACATTTTCAGAATTTACTGGTGGAAAATGAAAGGAGATAATTGCACTATTGCTGCCCAGGTATATTTGTACATGTTTGAGATTCTATTTACCGTAATTCCCCCTCCCTGGGACATGCCAGTTCAGAGGGGGAAAAAACAGGTTTGGGTACTCAGGCTGAAGTCTGTGTCACTTACCTGGGGTCACAGAAAGTCAAGAAACCCTGAATGAGTTAGGGTTTATAAATGCCTTGAAAGAGAAGAGAATTGGGGGTGGGGAGAGAAAGAGAATGCTGTTCTTCCCAGTAAGCTTTTCTTAGATTGTGATCAGTACAGAAAGCCTGTTGGAGGATTCCCCTCCCCATTCCCTGGGGGGCCACGTTGGTGGCTGTTCATTACTGAGGGTGACTAACTCAAGGGAAATGGCATCAGGTCACGAAAAAAATAAGTATACTGTGGATGTGATTTAAGCACTCAGTAGCCCTGCAGTCCTGTAGATGTGATTTAAGCAGCCAGATATATATCTAAGCAGACATTTTAGTGCACCTAAAAGCCATCTTATTCAGTATGTCAGGGGTGTGGGTGGAGAGTCATTTTTTTTTATCAAGCATAGCGTGAGTTCAGCTGAGAAATATATGTAGGCTTTGACTAATGGAGGTAATTGAGACAACTTAATTCTTAGAGAGTGGTTAGATTTGGTGCTTATTATTCTATTACTGGGGCAGGGGTGTGTGTGGGAAGAACCATACATATTCCCTTTGCAAATGCAGCAGCTTATAAGAATACCTGTTAACAGATAATGCCAAAACATTGGGTCAAGCCATGGATTTCATTATTATTCTTACTAATTTCCTTCCGATAGTCTACGCCTAGGCAATACGAAACAAGCAGCTTCAGAATTCTAGAACGTACAATTAGAAATCAGCACAGTGACATATTCCAAATGAAGAAAGTCTAGCATCATTCCAAGTGGTAATTGGCTCACTAATATAAGATAGGAACGTAGTACTTAACCAGAGCAACAACATCTCAGGTTTTTTTAAAAAATCTAAACAAAACCCTTTCAGGAGGCACAACAGCTATATAAATCAGTGCTTTGTGCAGTTGAAGTTGTATCTCTGGGGTGCCTCCCAGCAGAGCTAAAAGAAAAGTACCGTATTTTTTGCACCATAACACTCACTTTTTTCCTCCTAGAAAGTAAGGGGAAATGTCTGTGCGTGTTATGGAGCGAATGCCTGCGGGTGGCAGGGGGGATCTGCTGCAGTCGTGAGCAGAGGATCCATGGTTCCCCTTCCTTCCCTCCTCCATGGTTACAAAGCATGGATCCACATGGATCCTCAGGATTTTTGCATTGGGCTACTCCAAACTCACTGTCAGATCACATGTCTGTGGCCACAGCATGAACCACAAAAATCATATATCCACTATTTCGTTTAGAATATTTTTTTTCTTGTTTTCTTCCTCTAAAAACTACGTGCGTGTTATGGTCTGGTGCGTGTTATAGAGCGAAAAATACGGTACTTCAATTATTTGTAGATGGGCCTCTCTAGTTCATCCCCTAAAGGGCACCATAACTATATCGCTCTCTCTCACACACACACACACGGGGAACGAATGTATTATATGAAGAGAGTGGCACAATTCATTGTACTCCATAAATAATAGGAAAAGGAGACTATCGTTTTCCGAGTTTCTTGCAGAAACTAGATGACCCACATTCATCTGGCGAAGTAGGCTCTGGCCGATGATAGCTCCTGCTATTATATATTGGCTAGTCTTTAAGATGCCGGATGACTCTTGGTTGTTATATGCCGAAAGAGACAAAAAATGCTGCCCTCTGAAACTTTCAGTCATGAAGATATTTTCGTGTGAAAAATCATATACAGTGGTACCTCAGGTTAAGAACTTAATTCGTTCCAGAGGTCCGTTCTTAACCTGAAGCGGTTCTTAACCTGAGGCGTGCTTTCGCTAATGGGGCCTCCCGCTGCCACTGTGCCGCTGGCGCACAATTTCCGTTCTTATCCTGGGGCAAAGTTCTGAACCTGGAGCAACTACTTCCTGGTTAGCGGAGTTTGTAACCTGAAGCGTCTGTAACCCAAAGTGTCTGTAACCTGAGGTACCACTGTGTGCTGTACAAGGGGTTTGCAAATGTTTATTGTGGCACAAGTTTAAAGATTGGTGCAATCTTGTGCCACATGTTAAATGCAGGACAAATGTCATGTGTCTTAAGTAGCTATCTGTCAAAGTGAGATCTCTGACACACACACCCCTCCACACAAAAACTTTCATTATATTTCACAGGGTGGTTTCTGAAAACAAAGCAAAATGTATCATTCCCTCCAACCTGTATGAACAGATTAGTTTTCTTCCCGCAGTGTGAATATTTGGAGGGTAGCTGTAGGTTTGATGTATGGACACAATGTAGCCCCCAGGGCAAGTGCAGGAGCTCAGCTTGGCTTGAATAATCCCCACCCACCCACTCATATGCACGCAAATGAATATGGCAGCCAAATGGTTGTATCCAATGCTTTTTTCAGCTGAAACTCATCGAAACTCAGTTCTGGCATGTCCCAGGTTTGTGCCATTGCCATTCTAAGAGAACAAGAGAGAAGTTCATCATGAGCTCCGGCACCTCTTTTTGTAGAAAAATAGCACTAGGAATAGCCATGTACAGAATGGGACCACTTGTGGCTGGCAATGGAGTTCTAAGAGCTTACAAAAATGAAACTTGCAGTTCTGTTTGCAACATTTGTCAGGGAGGAAGCTTTTCCCAATGCCGGCTTCTGGTATTTAGGGGGCCCCTGCAGAGGAAGATTCACTAGGCAACTTTCCTGCCAGCAGATGAAGGCATTTTTATTTCAAAAAAATCTCCCCCTGACTAGCTGTTATTGACTATCCATCTTATGTGTAGAATTTCAATTATGTTGTTGCCATTTTAGTTCGTTCGGGAATTCTATTTTATCTTAATTGCGCTGTACTTATTGATTGTACTTGTATATGGGTTTTACTCTTGCACGTTCCTGCACAGAAACGGCTAATAAGTGTACAGCACAATAACAATAATAACTTGGTTATTTATATTGGTCTCAAGCTAATGTAATCCCAGAAATAGTAAAGAATCTATAATTATGTGAGCAATTAGTACCAAAACAAAAACAAAACCCACAGACTTCTCTCCTCTCCGATACATGCTGCACACATCAGACATATGAATATTGGTTTCCTTCAAGCTATTCAGACAGCACCTTCTTTCATTTGCTCTGAATTTCATTTCTGAGGGCTTCCCCTCCCCCCATTTCTAAATCCATGCTGCATTTAGCATAAACTACGCCAACGTCAAGTTAGCAACGGTGTTACAAACAAAAAAACCATTGTAGGCGTTTTAATAAGTAAAGGGAATTTATATCTGTTGGGCTGAAGGAAGGAAATGGGGGGAGGGGGAAACAACCCCAGAAAGCAGTGCAGTCTTTAAAGAAAAGAACCTCAAATATCAGAATCCCTTTCAAAAGTTATTTTGCTTTGTGCTGAATAAATCTACTGGAACACGTTTAAAAGGAATCATTTTGTTACTTGCAGTGGAGAAACTGACAGGAAAGCACAGAAGCTTTATCTGTCTTCTTCAGAGGTCTTTTTTCCCTCACAGACAAGATATACTGGATTGCTTGGACCAAAAAAAAATAATGCTATATTAAATGCCTAAATAATACTCCTGCCCTCTAGTTTTCGTTTCCTTCCGTATTCACCAGCAGAGCACAGTGTCAAGTGAGCAGAGCTTTTAGCAGGCTAGCACAATTAACTCTGCGCTAGATTATTGGCCCCTGTACTTTGTGACTTCAGGAAACTTCCTGAACCTGATCCTCATAGCCTGTGTGGGTGCACACACAGGGGAGGGAGCTTAGTTCAAATTTGGATTGACTCTATTTAAATAAACATAGATAGCCTGGTTTTGTGAAAAGGTTCACATCATGAACACTTATGGCAGGCTTTGAAGTTAAGTGTTTCATTCCCCACACACAATGCTCATGGGGATTTGAGCACCTAAACACACCACCAAGGCTGCCACCATAACTTCTGGGCCACCCATAACTTCTGTTGGGCAGGACCCATGTCTGGGTTTGTGAGTCATCAAGGCTATATGACAGTCCTTCAGTGAACTCAAGGTTCTAGACAGCCAATATTCACCCGAACTGCTTTCTGCAGCCATACACATAACCACCCTGAATCTAGGAATATCACTCGTGAAGAGAGGGGTTGGAGATCCTGTCACACTTCTGATGGCATTAGTGGGAATATAATAGGGTATACATTTCAGAATGGGCTGGGGGAGGATATGAACTATTTTCCCATATTAGCCAAGATCCTTCTGAACTTTGCTAAAGGATGCTTATTCACCATTAGACCAGACTGAAAACTATCTCAGTTATGCAGCCGTGACTAAACCTACCTCATACAAATAAGGGTAGGGGGAGCGGGTTTTTGAGGGGGGAAAGCTCAAAATTAACTAAGGCTAATTCTAAACGGTAAACAGAGCGTTCGCGGGAAATTTAGCATATAATTACTTCTAATTTTCAATGGGATCATTACTAGTTAATTAGTGATTAAATTAAAAGCACTTTTCCTTGTGAATATGAATGTTCTTCGTGAGTAGCAATGGTTCAGCAGAACTGTTCTCCCTTCAGCAAGTTCACAGATGTATACAGATTTGCACACAGGTCATGTACTTGGTTCGCTGAAGTTGCACCATTTAAAGAGTGAACGCAGTGCCATTTCCCTAGAAAGACAGGTGCCAGAACTCACCATAAACACCTCCCTCATTCTCTTAGAGTGGCAATGGCACACACCAGGGAGGTGCTGGAACTCAGTTTCTGTGAGTTCCCCTGGAAAAATCCCTGGGCTAATGAATAGACAACTCAGGGTTGTTGTTTTTCTAATGCATCTCCTCCGTCCTTTGGAAAGGTCATCGCTACTTATTTGGGACTCCCCAGTGGAATTTGCTGCCAAGGAGTGTGGTGGAGTCTCCTTCTTTGGAGGTCTTTAAGCAGAGGCTTGACAACCATATGTCAGGAGTGCTCTGATGGTGTTTCCTGCTTGGCAGGGGGTTGGACTCAATGGCCCTTGTGGTCTCTTCCAACTCTATGATTCTATGATTCTAATTTTTCACCCATGGGGTCAACAATAATCCATGTTCTGACTGTTCACACATGAATTTATATCAAGGGCTACCAACAGAGAAACTACCCACATGACTTGTTATATCCTGTTCAGAAACAGAAACAGTGAAAGTAGGTCTTGAAAGACCTACATTGGCTCCCAGTACATTTCCAAGCACAATTCAAAGTGTTGGTGCTGACCTTTAAAGCCCTAAACTGCCTCAGCCCAGTATACCTGAAGGAGCATCTCCACCCCCATTGTTCTACCCGGACACTGAGGTCCAGCACCGAGGGCCTTCTGGCGGTTCCCTCACTGCGAGAAGCCAAGTTACAGGGAACCAGGCAGAGGGCCTTCTTGGTAGTGGCACCCGCCCTGTGGAACGCCCTCCCACCAGCTGTCAAAGAGAACAACAACTACCAGACTTTTAGAAGACATCTGAAGGCAGCCCTGTTTAGGGAAGCCTTTAATGTTTGATGCATTACTGTATTTTAATATTTTGTTGGAAGCCGCCCAGAGTAGCTGGGGAAGCCCAGCCAGATGGGCGGAGTATAAATAATAAATTATTTATTATTATTATTATTATTATTATTATTATTATTATTATTATTAGGATCCCTTTGGTTTCTTCCCTCCACAGGAATAACTGTAAACTGTAAAAACAACTGAAAGTTTGCATGGGCATCCATATTCCTTGCAGGCTCTGATTTCCAAAGGTGCTCTTTTTGACAAAAACTAAGGTGCTGCTTCGCATATAAAAATGTCATGGATGGCAATGTGTGTGGGGGGGGGGAGCTGCCAGTACTCTGTACCACTGAGTACCATCACAAAAAGCCCTGGTTTCCAAGATTTGGCTCCTTCTCTGGCTCGTATTTAGCAGCTGTCTACATTTTGGCATTGACACTGTATTTCTCTCTTCCGTTGAGACGCTGTCTCCACCTTCTGCCCCTTTGGTTCCGATCCCATCATTTGGCTTCTCGATTTTCCGTGTCTATTAATGGCAGAAGCCCTCCAGAGCTGACACATTTACACTTCTATATCTTTATGGATTGTGATTGGAGCCCTGTTTTCACCCGAGGCCTCTGGGCATCGCCGTAATATAAATCATAATGTATCTTTCCACTCAGGTGCTTTATCTCTATACTGGGAGCATCACCTTGAAGGTGAAAAGGGTACATCGTGATGTTGCCCGCCAATATCAATTTTGCCTCTGGCTCTCCTCACCACAAAGGTGCCAATCATTTAAAGGCCTGTATAAAATGGAAATAGGAGAAAGTTTCTGCAAATGTCATGTCTCCGGCCTTTGAGCATCCCTGGGAAAGTTATAGTTTAAAAGGCCTTTCTGGGTAGAATTGACACATCACATAACATGATTGTTTGAATTGAGCTACCTAGACCCCAAACGACCCATTCAAAAACTATTAGTATGCTACCAGCAGTGAACACAGCCATTTCTTCCCTGTTTTTGAAGCCAACAGATTGTCACAAACTGCCTCTTTTTTTGTCCAAAAAAGCATTCTGCCTAAAGAGCAGAATCATTTGTTTCCTCCTAGAGTTAATGATCTCGCACTACAGATGAACAAGCTGATGATCTTTCCTTATGACTCCAGAGAGGAGGAAAGCATCTAAGAAAATACAAACAAATCACAGTTGGTCATTTGCCAAAGCATTCAGAGATAAGTCTGGCTATGTGAAAACTGACAGAGCAAACAACTTCTGCAGTTTACACACACGCCTGTGAAGTGGAGACACCTGCCAAATTCATTGCCGGGCTGCCATTATTAAGGCATCAAACTGAGAGACTGCTGTGATGCACACCAGTGTGGTCCTTCACACAACACCTCCAGGTAATGCTGAACTACCACTGCCCCCCATGACTCCTGACCATTGGCCATGCTGGCTGCAGCTGATGGCAGCTGGAGTTCAATGACAGCTAGAGCTAGAGGCCACAGGTTCTCCATCACTGACTTAGAGAATGTACCTGGTAGTCCCCTGTTCAAATCTCATCTCGTCCATGAATTTGCTAGGTAGCATTAGGCAAGCCACTCTCACCCTCAATATTCCATGTGTATAATATGAAAACTGCTATAGGAATGTTCATATGAATACCTTCTGTGAACTGATGGTGTGGGGGGTGAGGTCATCATCACCGTCTGCCATACGTTCAGCCAGCACAGGTGTGGGGAACCTTTGACACTCTAGATCAGGGTTTCCCAAACTTGGGCTTCCAGCAGTTTTTGGACTACAACTCCCATAATCCCTAGCTAGGAGGGCCATTAGTCAGGGATGATGGGAATTGTAGTCCCAAAACTGCTGGAGACCCAAGTTTGGGAAACCCTGCTCTCTAGATGTTGCTGGATTAAAACTCCCAGTGCCCCTGGCCAATGACCATGTTTGCTGGGACTGACAGGAGTTGCCGTTCCCCATCCCTGAACTAGCATGTGAAGCAGACCTATGTGCGTAGAGTGGCTGGGTGTGAAGGAGGAGGCTGATTGATTCAGGATCATTCCTCATGTAGGGCCACTCTGCACTCAGAGCTGCATCACACTCTGATGAAACGCATTTGTCAGGAGTGCGTGCAGGAGCCAGGCCCTGTGACCAGTAGGGCTTCACAGGACTGGGGCCTTCCTAAGTTTGTTCTGGAGAGGCAAAGTGCGGCTGCACAGGTGAGGCCGCTTAGTAACTCACTGCACCTGGTGGCAAGAGCCAGGAAGGGATATAAGGTCAGCATTTCCCTTCAGCTCTTTGCCACAGCAACATGTTTCCTGCCTCAGATCTCAGCTTCTTGACTCCTTGCTTCTCGACCCTCGGACCCCTGTCTTCTTGACTCTCATTCCTGCTCCCACCCCGCCATCTTGCCCCCAGTCCCAACGAACTCAGCCGGGACTTCGATCTCTCGTAGACCGGACCGTGACAGCATTGCCAGGAGGTGTAACTTATTCCCTGTTGTCAACATGTGAGGGGTTTCTATGAATGCCCCTGTCGTGTAGCTTTGTGGCCTACTCTGGCAGCTCAGCCAGGCAGGCTCTGCCTCAGCAATTATATTCTAGGCATGGATGCCTAGGTAACATGCTACTCCCTCCATAACTCCTATTGCAGACTTTGTCTTCTGACCCAAGGCGGTGTGTCCCACTTTGCCACCTGAGGCGAAAAAGGACGTGCTTCCCTGCCACTGTTGCCACTACTCCCACCACCACCTACCTGTTCCCGCTGCTGCCACCTGTTCTGCTGTCACCATGTGCCCTGCCACATCTGCCACTGGCACAGAAGAGGCACTGCCATTGGTGCTGATTTCAGGCAAGATTGAGTCATGTGAGATCTTGTGCACTTCGTAGCATCATGCCCCAAATGGATACAATCTTGCCCGAAATCAGGGCTGCTTCTCTGCTGCTGGTGGAGGCAGTAGGGCAGGTGGACCGCCATGGGGAGCTTCTGTCACCTGAGGCAGCACTCTCACCTTTCCTAATGGCTCAGCTTCTGATTTCTCCTAACATGGCTTTCTCTTCTAAGCAACTCCTAACAGGCAGAAGTCACTTGGGCTTCCGAAAGAGACTCTCAATACACTCTATCTTCCTCATACACACAACAATAAGTGGGATCAGCAACAAAATGTTGGAGCGTGGAGTGCTTCAGGGTTCTAGTCAGGACCTCTTTCCCAATATATACTATTGGTCTGACTTAGGCCCTGTCTGCACTGTGCATTTAAAGCTGTATAATACCACTTTAAACACTCATGGCTTCCCCCAAAGACTCCTGGGAACAGTAGATTATTAGGCATACTCAAAGTTGTAAGGTGATCTGTCACAGAGCTACGGTTCCCAGCACCCTCAACAAACTGCACTTCAAATAATTCTTTGTTTGGAAGCCATGATTGTTTAAAGTGGTATGACACTGCTTTAAATGTATATGGTGCAGAAAAGGCCTTATAGGACTGCTCTAAGGTTTACTGATAGAATGTGTGTGAAGCTTTTAGGACATTTGCAACACACTAGATAAACACTATCTTCCTGTTGTTAGCATTATTCTTATTGATTACATTGTTTCCTACACTGAGTCTTTGTGATACACCATTTTCTACCTTAGACAGGCATCATTGCAATTAATGGAAAAACAGGGGAAAGAATAGGCCTTCTCACCCATTAAATTGACTCCAGCATTTATATGAGGCCTAATGTGTTCCTTAGATTTTCAGATCATCACTCAGGCCTGGGATTTACAATCTGTGGGAACAGATCTCTGCACAAAGTGAACTTTCTAAATTAGCCCTCCTTTTTGCCTAGGGAGCAGACCCTCCTTTTGGATTTATGTTCCTATGATTCCTCACCTCCTTGCTCTACATTTATTTAAGGAAGAAGACCTGGCTCTGCTGACATTCAAAGGGTACCTGGCAACCTTTCCCAGCCTCCTCCGTGGTCACTTTCTGGAGGGGTTTCTGTTGCCATGGTACCATGAGCCGGTAAATACTGAAGCTGGTTTTCGCAAGGGAGCTGCCTTGCCTCAAAGCTGTGCCTCCTGAGCTTGAGTCCTTTGCTCATTTGAAGGAATAGCAGTGAGCAGGGAGAAAGCAGGACTTGGAAGATCTCAGTCAGGAGCGCGGAGGTGGGATCAGTGAAGTCTCCTTTGCTTCCCCTTAGTCCCCAGGACTAAAGCAGCAAGAAATCCCATCTGATAGCACTATTAATGGATTGCAGGAGCCATTCACTTTGGAAGAACTTGTCCATATGTTCCTATCTGCAGAACTGGGCAAAAATCTGCCTGCCACTAACGCATTTTCTCAATTCCATAGGTTTTTCAGAATGAGGAAATAAATGTACAAACCAAGATAGACCACTCACTGGCTACCTTTCTAACTTTGAGAGTTAGAGTTGGCCCAACTATTAGGTAGTGGGAGGCCAATATTTTGTGGTTATTCATTGATTAGCATTGAATTTTTACTGTTAATGGTGATGGGGGAAAGTGCTTGTGGAAGGTTCTCCCTATGAAGCCAAAATAACATGACTGGTCATTGTGGACCCAGAACATGGGCCTCATTGGAAGCCTTCTCCTCAACTCAGTTTTGTTTGAGTAAATTAAACTACTAGGGATACTAGGGCTCACGAAGTTCCTACAGTCAAGTTCTAAGGACTTCATGAATCAGACAACAGGTCCATCTAGGTAAAGTGTGGTCCGCTTTGATGGGGAGCAGCTCTCCAATGTCTCAGGCAGAACCTCTTTTGCAACTCTGCTATCTTAGACTGAACCCAGGACTTCCAAATGTCGTCTGGCACTGAACTACCATACCCATCCCTCTCTTCCTCTCCCTTCTCTGTTACACATACACACACACAAACCAAGTCTGTGTGAAATCACATGCTAGAGTCACCAACAGCATATACAATACCCCAGGGTGAGGTATGGCTGCACCATATGTTCCTCTCTTTAGAACTGGGCGAAGCAAGAGCACTCCTCTTGTTGAACAGCTGAGGATACATTGGAATATTTTTGTCGCAATGTATGGTTTACATTTATTTCTCTACATAGCCTAAGAATATAGTTTTACACTGAGAATATACTCTGGGCAGAATCCAGTTTAGTCCTCCAAGTGATGTTGCTCCAGCAGAAGGTGTCTGCCAACAGAGGAGGGGAAGTGATTTTTTCTTCCAACTCTCCCTCTCTCTGCAACTCTCTAAAAATATGTTCTGGAAGGTTGTGGGGGATGGGGGACCTCTGGAACAGATCTTCAAAACTCCTTGTATTTGCACAAGGGCACCAACTGCACCATCTCAACCCCATCTGATATATGTCTCATTAATTTACAAAGGAAGTTGCCTTATATTGAGTCAGAAAATTGGTCAGTCTTGCTTAGCCATTCCATGATTCCAGGAAAGGTCAACCACCACCACCTCTGGCCATTCTTTTTGAGGTCGCTTAACTGGATGTGCAGAGAAATGAGCAAAGCAAATGCTCTATCATGGAGCTTAGGCCTCCTCCCTTTTCTGCAGTTGGATTTGTTTCCAGGTATGTGGGTTGAGAATTGGCACCTCAGCCATACTTGTCTCAAATTCCAAATTCCCCCTCCCCCGCAACCAACCCAGAAAGCTTGGTGACCTTTGCTCTGCACCTTATCTAGTCATTCCATGCCAAATACTTCACATTCTTCATCAGTCCCAAGTGTTATTTATGTACAAAATTTGATGAATTCCACCAGATAATCTGCTTGGGGAGATGCAAATAAACAACAAAATGGGAACAAATCTTACGATAATCACAGGGCTGTCAAACTGCCAATACAGGGAGGAAACTTAAATAGCTAATTTCCAGTGAATGGCAGATTTTTTCCTCACAGCTCCACTTTTTGGTTGCATTACTGGAAATTTTTGATATGTCAATTTGCATCTCTTCAAGTAATTGGAGCATTCGTTCAAAAATTAGACATTTGGGCAATCAAGTTACAAAATAACACAGAATAGGGTTAAAAAAAACACCTTTAAAAAAAGAGATGTGTTTCCAGCAGTTCAAATTCTGTGTTGATATAACTCAGGTGCATCTCAACTGGGAAAAGAGCTATTTTCAATTCTTCTGACACACAGGTATGGATTGGAAGATTCCATTATCATTACTCTACTAATATCTCTGCCAAAACATTGAATGGTCCATTACATTCAGAACAGTCCTGAGGTAGAATACATTTGGTGCCAAAAAATAGAAAGTTCCTTTTTTAAAATAATAAAAATCTGATATATCGAGACAGCTTAACTTTAGAAGGTCCTACTTATAAAATATGCCTCCAAGAACAATGTATCAAAGTTATGAAAGGAATGTGAACTTTCTTAGAGATGAGACACCACACACACACACACACACACACACACAGATACTGCTTTTGCCTTTTGCACTATTATATTTTCCGAGTTCTGTGAAATTTTATTGCCCTAGGAAAACATTGAGATTGTAGTGTTTATGCTACAAAATCTGACCCATTCCATTTCCAAAAGGCAGTTCTTCTTTTGGTCTGCACCATCTGTCAGAATTTATTGTGCTCCTTCTGAACAAACTCAAGCTTCAGAAAATGCCCCAAAGAAAATTTCTGGTTTCCACCATTCTTTATATGTTGTTCTCAAAAATGGCAATAACCGCTGGGAGACAGAGAGCCCATACGCATGACCAGGCTGCCCCACACTAAGCTCTCCTACATTGTTGCTGTTATTTATTTTACATGGGGTCATGACCCTGCTCACTCTGCTCACCAACCCACTGCCATTCCTCCCAAATTAACCACTAGAGTTTCCCCTTCCCAACTTCATAACTACGAAGCTCGCCTTTGCCCCATGCCCATGCTTCCTCTCTCCTTTTGCACAACCTCCCTTGCCCACAATCCACACCCACGGCAATTTCCTGCACCTTCCTCCTTCCAACTGCTAAGCACGCTTTTTACTTTCTGCCCAGTTCTGAAGCCACCATCCCCTCCTCTTCTTCAGACCTTGCCATGCCCTATCATCTTCAAACCTTTTCCCATTCCCCCACCTCTCTCCTTTCTCACAACCCATTTTAGATTCCCATTTTCACCTTCGCTCTCTTTTCCCTTCACTCCCTCTTCTTATTTTTCCTCAGTTCTCCATTGCATGCAGATCATCCCCCAATTTCCATGTTGCGTCCTTTCCCCTGCTGTGCAGCCCCCTTTGCGTGCGCACACACAGTTACCCCCAGGGGTGCCAATTTGTTTTTTGTTTTATTTTTTCCAAAAAAAAATATTCATTTTATAACACAAATAAACAACACACACAGGAAAACAAACAATACAAACAGATTCTTGTCTTATCCTTATTTTTTCTAAACATTGTTAGGTGGGCTTCCCCAAGTCCCCCCATCTGATTTTCATTTTACCTCATCTTTAGCAATTTACATGTATCATAATTTCTAAGCTCTTTTTTTAATCACACTTACTTTAACCATAAAAAATCTTCACATTTTATCACTTGCAAATAATACTATTTTAAAACACACTATCTTCTACTTCTAACCCTACAGCCTAAATCCACTTCCAAAGCTATTCTAAGATTTAAATATTAACATGTTTTTTCAAATATTCCTTAAACTTCTTCCAATCTTCTTCCACGTCTCTTCTCTCTGGTCTCGGAGTCTCCCGGTCAGTTCGGCAAGTTTCATATAGTCCAACCAGGGGTGCCAACTTGAATTAAATATGGGGGGGGGGAGAGCCAAGTAAGCCCTGCCCTGCTTAATCAATCACAAGACATGCTATTTGAATGCCCAGCCCCCACAAGTATGTTATTGGAGGGGGAGTTGAAGGGACCTTGGTCCCTAGGAGTTGGCTCCTATGATTACCATTTTCACCTTTTTTCAAATCTCCTTTGGTAATGGCCCACCCACCATTTCCATGCCGCCGCCTCTCTCCTATTCTGCAGCCTGATTGGCACACATGCCCCATATGGATATTGTATCTTTAAGATGCATAAAATCTGAAGAGCAAGTCTCTCAGTTGGTTTGCTCAGTTAGAAAAGGTTAAGTTCAGCCGATAAATATTGTACCTATATGGCTGTTTGCTTCACTTCTAAATTACTACAGTGAATCCGGAACTTCACACGGAAGAAAACAGCGTGCATTATAGTCAGTGAAAACAGATGTAGTATGCTTTATGATTTTCCACTCTAAAAATCCAACGTTTTCCTTCTCTTAACACCCCCCCCCCCCCCGTTGAATGTTTTAGGTTGTGCTCTACCTCTGCATTATAATCACCTGTATGGGAATAAGCCCAATTGAACTCAGTGGTCCCAAGGGATGGATTGGCTTAAGTAGACACTACAATCTTGCCCATCTCAGGCCCTTCAGATGAATTTGATGGTCTATAGATGTCAGAAGGCATTGAGAGGCCAAGAAATAATATGAAAAAGATTCACACTATCTCTGCCCATCTGTAGATCATTGATCAGGGCAACAAATATAGATTGTGGCCTGAATCCTGACTTATATGGGGCCTGCTGCTTTGTGGGACATCTTTGGGAGAAGAAAAGGCTAAGATGTAAGCCCTCCAAATCTGGAGTGGAGCCCCTAAGACAATTGGATGGTGTCTTATATGCCTCCTTCAGGCAACTCCTGGTGCCAGACGTATTGCTCTGCTTTCCTTTGGACCACATCAGCAAGGCCAAGAGTGGGGTCTTGTCATCTGGGCAGCCCAGGACCTCCATACACACTGCCCAGGCTTGTGCCCCACAGAGATCACTTTGATGCTTCTATCGCAGCAAAAACAACGCAGGAAGCAGCAGTTACAAGGGACCAGTCTCTGCAGCCACAGCAGGCACCGTGATTCTCCCCAGAGGCAGATGGATGCCAACAACATGGGCCCAGAAAAGCCATCTCCTCCAAGAATTTCTAGAGCAGTCCCAATACTAGCTGATCAATTACCTCGTGCAAAAAAACAATCATAATTTTGACATTCTAAGCATCTGGGGCGATCTGGGCGGGCTTTTTAAAGAATGATTATATCAGTGCTTCCTTTATGACATTAGACCTTAACACCTTCTCAAGAGGTATATTCACCATAGCTGTCAAGAGAGTATTTAACCGACGCTCAGCAGTTTTCACTAGCCATGATGGGAGAGGGTCAAGTGAATTAATGGTGGGCTCCAAACCCTTCACAAATCTTAGCGGCTGCCTCAGGCAACAATAGCTGAAAGCCATCCATCAAAACTGGCTAACGTTAATCACCATGCATGACACCTCCACCATGCAGAGCCAATGTGTCATTGTGTTAGACTATTTTAGCACCCTGGTGTGTCATGTAACTATTATTGCTAATTCCTGGGTGTTTGGAGCTGAACTCTTATATCCTCATCATTCCAAACATCAAGCTTTGCTTTCATTATACCCTGGAAGCTGTTTCAATTTGTTTGGAATATCACTTGACTTAGCTTTGTCTGATTTTCGTGAGGAGGCATAATACTCTTGCATTTTTCGCTGAAGGGTGTTCAACTTCCAATTGCTTGCAAGGGTTTATTTTCTTTTTCTTTTTATCCATCTGCAGGTAAAATAACTCATTTGTTCACTTAAACAGCACCCCCTGGTGATTCTGTTTTAATTGGGGGTTAGAGACTAAAGCAAAAAAGGTACATTAACTTCCAAGAATAACTGTGGCTGTTTTTCAAAAATAAAAAAATAAAAATATGTAGTGCAATCTTTGAAGAGCTCTGCCTTTCCCCGAGTTAACTCCTTTATTGTTGTTTAGACCAGAACAGGAAAGTTTCTTTGAGAACATCCTTTATTGCTTTAGAAATAATAATGCCTCCAATGGATTGAACAAATGAGTTAGAATTGCTTTTAGTTAGCAATCATCATGACACTGTAATAAAAAAAGGCATTGAGTTATCGGTAGATTCATTTCTGAAAATCTGTTTTTATTTATCTATTTAGGTAATTTATTTACTACTTCAAACTTCAGAGATGCCTTTATAACATCCTTTATTTTATTCTATTTTTCTTTTAAAAAATCACAAGTCAATCAATACCAAAAACACAATTTAAAAATCCAGATTTTAGAGTAGCACAGAACAATTAGATAAAGTGTCCTCTTAAACATCAATATAAACTAAAACAAAAGCAGATGGGGAACCATAAAAACTACAGGCAGATCCAATAGGCAGCAGAGTAAACCACTCACCAAATATACACACATGCATAGCACTCTCACTTCTGCTGCTGCCTGTCAGAGATTGGCTGAATGACAAAGAGTGGTGGGAGGCACCAGCTGGGGAACCCCCAAGGGAAATCCCAGAGGAGGAAGGTTCAAAGCCTGGGGATTGGTGGTGGGCTACTAACGAGGTCAGAGGGAGAAGATTGGGAGGAGGTGCTGGGCATTGAAGGGATAACAGGCTATAGTGAGCAGGAAGAACCTGTGACAGGGAGCAGTTCAGACTCTGAGGCTGAAGCAGAGGAGGGCGTGTGTTAAGATTATTAAGCAGTTATTTATTGGATTATGAACTGCAACACACAGTTCTAAACATCCTTTTACTAAGTGAACCACAGGCTGTCTGAATACGGCATCGTCTGTGTATTTATTTTTATCCATAACCTGTCCCTTTCCTAGGATTCAAAATGGTTTTCGGTATATCTCACAATGAATTTTGAGATAAACAATTCATATCCTAAAACCACATTCCCAATTAATAGCTTAATCTTGACTTTAAAGAGCAAACAGACAAGCCCAAGTCAGTGTTTTATAGAGCATATACATATCTACTGAGAATTAAGTCCCATTGAGTTAAGGGGGACAGCCCTTGTGTAACCCCAGGCTCCACCGGCACTGTACATTTAAAGCAGTGTCATACCACTTTAAACAGCTGTAGGAACTGTAGTTCGTCCCCAGAGTGGTTTAGCAATCAGTCAATCAATCTAGGAATTGTAGCTCGGGGGCGGGGATAGAGGTCTCCCAGCACCTATCAGCACCCTTAACACTTCCCCAGAATTCTTTGGGGGAAGCCATGACAGCTTAAAGTGATGATGATGATGATACATTTTATTTATATCCCGCCCTCCCCAGCCAAAGCTGGGCTCAGAGTGGCTAACAACAGTAAAATAATAAGCATTCTAAAATCAATTCATTATAAAATCATATGATGTGACTTTAAATATACAGTGTAGGTATGGCTCTATATGCACTTACCTGTAGCTGGGGCTCCTTTAAGGAAAATGGGACTTACCAGTGGCATGCGGTCAGTGGACTAAGGAGACTAGCTAGTCTCCTAAATGTTCCCCTGGTGCTTCCTTCACAAAGCCTGGGAAGCTTCTTCCCCGCTTAGGGAGGGAGGTGTGATGCTCACGCACACAATATCAGGACATTACAACATCACATGCATGACATCGACCCTCACAAGCTAGTGCCTCTGGCCCTAACAGTTTCACTATGTTTCACACCACTGGGACTTACTTTATGAGAGAGAGAGAGAGAGAGAGAGAGAGAGAGAGAGAGAGAGAGAGAGAGAGATGCATTCAGGTAGGCAGATCACAAACCATGTAACACAACACCTTGATTGTGCTTGGAGGACAGTAAGGAACCAGTACAGAGGTTTTTCTGTTTCATGGCATTGTGCCACTTGAATCACAGTGCCTGCCATAATCCAGGGCTATCAAGAATAGCACTATAGCACTAATATCAAGCTGCAAAATAGTGTGGGTGGAGGAGGCCATTTTTTAAATAAATGACAGCCTGGTTTTTCAGAATGCGTCGCAGAGCATTTAATGTTCAGAATGCACAGCAGGCAGAAGGTTCCTTAATTTTCCTCTGCCGAAGCACTCAGTTGAAGCCAAGTCGAGATGGCCATTACCTGTAATAACCTTTCAAGGGCTAGAGTGCTGCAGGGTTTCTTTTAAAAACATAATAATAATTTAGAATTCAAAATGGAAAACTATCCCTCTTCAAAGATGCTAATTCAGCTGTAGCGTACAGAGAAAACTGGGGAGAGCCTGCTGCTCACCTGCTCTCCTCCCCCAAAAAAACCCCTCTACCCCATGCACATGTTTGACAATTAGCACAACTGAGAGGTTTTTTTAAAAAAAAATTAGCCTAATTTGCTGCATGGGGTGAGGGATCCAAATGCATCCTGGGCCAAATTCTGCCTGGAGGTTCCCCATACCTACTCTTGGGGAAAGGGTGAGTTCTCTCGTAAACTGGGTATGAAACTCTCTTGTTTTGAACCTGGAGCTGTGGGAATGTGTGGCTCTTCACTGGTCAAGAAATTAGGCATGGGACACCTATTAGGCTTAGGCCACTTGACTGCCTATATTCTGAGCCTGTTCTCCAATCTGTAGTACTCTCTTTCATGTTTGGATGTTACCTACAATCAGCCTCGACCAGTGGTTTTATTGACGGATACTAGTAATGATAGCAGCATTTATTCTTTTATCTCCAAATAGTGTTTGATTTCTAGATATTCTTTTCTTGCTTTATCCAGCCTTTATTCAGCCTTTTCAGCTTAGGAGGCCTATAAACAGTTGTGATTGCACTCAAGTTAATAAGATCACATATCTAAGGGAATGCACTGTCACAAACAAGGAAGCCATTCCAGGTAAGGCAGCAACGAATGCATTTCTGCTAAATTTGTGCTAAGAAAGAATGGAAGAACTCAACAGTTCATAAGGGAAACTAGCAAGAGGCAAGATATTTGGAAACCCTTCCAACTTTATGAGTCTATGATTGATGGATGGTTGCCAGCATCATACCATGCTTACTGATACAGATGTAGAACTCATGTATACACACATCTACGGATCCTGGCCCAATCAGGACTAGCAATAGCATAACTAAAGAATACCCAAAAACTATCAGCAACACCACTGTCAATACAGATGTTCACACAGCAATGTGTATACCCAACTCAACATAAACAATCAAGAAATGTCTTGGTAAACAGAAAGGTCTGTATGCAAAACAACCACATTATCAGGGCTTTCCTGATCTCCACTGAGAGCTGACAAGACGGGTGGAACAGCAGAAATGTCCTTGCTCAGCCTGCAGACCTATTTTGTTTTGCTGTGGTCCATATGATGTGTTTTCTGCTTCAGCATGTTTGCTTCTCCTAGCAACATCTCAAGAGCAGGCATCACCTCTGTCACTCGCGCTTTTGCATCCTGTTCACTGGGTTACTGAAACATCACCCTGAAAGGGGATTCAAGAGTCTACAGTTTATCAGCTTCAGCAGGCGTGGAGCCCCTCTGCTTGCTGATCATTTTAGGGACTTCACATTACAGTCAGTCAACAGTACTGCATTGCACAGGAGAAAATATTAAAGACCAGCCGTTTGCCTCTTTGGTTGCAAAATACAAGGTGCACATGTTGGATATGACTGGTGGGGCTGATTAGCTATAGAAAATGAAAGGGTGGTTTCTTTTATTGGTTTGATAGACCATTGTTTGCTTGAATGGGCATTCACATGTGTTATGGCTGTTAGAGCACATGAGAAAATCAGCAGATAAGCATACAGGGTTTAAATAAAGACACGCCTTCCCAGAGTACAGTGATGTTTGAGATGGGGGTGGGGGATCCTCCAGGTGCACATTTTTTTCTTCTGTTACATAGCCAAATTAAGACTGAACTACTGGCAAGTAATGAATACTTTAAATACTATCATTCTCCTCCATGCCAGAGAAGCAGTAAACAGAAATATGCACTATTCAGCCATTACAAAAGAATTGGGAGGAAATGTAGATTTGGATGTGTTGTGGGATATATAACGATGGCTATTGTTATAGAGCCAATTGGGATAGTGGTTAGAGGATCTGGGAGACCAGGGTTCATTCAAATCCCCACTTAGTCATGAAGCTCGCTGGACAATCTCGGGCCAGTCACAGTCTTGAAGCCTAAGCTACCTCACAGGGTTATAGTAATAAGATGGGGAAAAGAGAATGTCCCGAACCCCTGGCCTACCTGGCAGCAAGTCAGTATGGCAAGTCTGAAGTTCAACAGTCAGGAAACATGGTCCGGGGTCAGTCCAAAGGTCAGAAAAATGCAGTCCAGTGTCAAACCTGAAGCACAGTCCAATAGAGGGACTGGGAACATCCAAGCCGAGGCCTATCAGCATGGGCAGCTGAGCAGACCCAACACCTCAGCTCTGCTGCCCTTTTATATTTTGCATGCTGATTGCAGCCTCTGGGCTTGATAAGACCTGTTCCAAGCCTACTCCAGCTGAGGAATCACGCCCCTCCTCCTAGAGCTAGCAAATCCCACAATAAATCACAAGGGATATGTGAAGTTAACTCTTTATTAGAAGACACAAGGCCTGCTCAGGGAGCCTGGTCTAATGGGCACAGCAACTCTTATCAGTAGGTCTTGCCCCTATGAGGCAGTTGCGGAGGCTGAAGATCCCTGTCTTCCTACCGCTGTCTAAATTTCTTCCTCCCTTGGATCCTTCCCAAGCAATCTGAGACTAAGACAATGCGCCTGCGTCTGCGCCTCCCACTTCATACCTTTTCTGGACCTGCTAGACTAGGAGGGAAGGGAGCTGGTCACAGCAGGAGGGGGAGACACCCTGGCTTCTTCACCAGCCTGACTCACTCTGCCTCTTGGTCTCACTCCTCTTCTGCTTCAGCTTCTGAGTCTGGACTTCAGCTTCTGATTCACAGACTCTCCCTGTTCACTATCCCTCTTACCTCTTCAGCTTCCAATAACTTTTCCTCCCAGGTTTCTCCCTCTTCTCCCTCCAACCACATTGTCACCCCACCCCAGTCCCTGGGCTCTGAGCCTTCTTCCCTTGGGGGTTCCCCAGCTGGTTCCTTCCACCATTCCTCTGCATCCAACCAGTCCATGACGTCTATCCTGAAGCGGGGCATAACATTTTCTAAATAAGTAAAGTATTTGTCCCACCTAGGATTTTGAAACATTGTGTATTCTATTAAATGTAGCCTTGGATTCCATAATTATTTCAGCCCTAAAGGATTAATGTGGTCTTCCTGTGCATGCACACAAAACCCATCTGGAAACCCACAAATAGCACAAATTGATTAATGGGTCTCATAAAAATGGCCTCTAATGGAAACAGCAGTTCACTTAATATTTTGATAGAAAACTCCTACAATGTGTCCTTAAAAGAAGGTGAATTACAGGGTTGCTATGGCTCAGGGAAAGTCAATATGATCATCACACATTTGCTACAAGGCCATCAGTTTGGAATGTCAAGTTCCTTCCCATTTCATCAGGCTCATGGTGTGAATATTCAGAACTCTTCAAAACTCCACTTATCCTTCCTTCATGCACAGAACCACAAGATCCAGAAGCCCTTCTTCCACCCTCCTTTCCTGAAATGCTTCTTCAGGCTCTTAAAATGTTTTTTTTATTATCATTTATATGGGTCTGAAAAGCATCAGCAGGCTTTTAAAATGATGGTACTTGGGTGCATATAAATGCTCCCTGCATATTAGTAATCAACCACATTTCTTTTGAATGGCAGTAAATTTTCTCTCAACTTGCCATTTCTTTTCTCTGTTCAGAAGCCAATATTACCAACTTCCTTTTTTTAATTAAGATTTTTATTACATTTTCATAACTTAACCAATTAATTTCAAACTTCAAATTTGTTATACATTTCCCTTATAATTTGACTTCCCACCTTCCTTTCCATGCTCTTTTTATACCCATCTCTTTTGTAGACTGCATAATTCACCTAATACACATTCCTCTGCTACACCATACATTTCATTTAATATATAATCCTCTATTTCATATGTTACCATTTCTTCCAGTCGCTCAAATTCCAAATCCTGCCCGCAATTTCATTTGATTATGATTTTTTTTTCAAAATTCCCATCATTTTGGTTTTTATTTCACTACTCTGCACCCCCACCCATCAGAAATCCATTACATGTCCACTTGGGACATTCAGTATTGATTGGTATCCCCATCATGCAGGAAAGTGTTTTTCATCTAGAGCTGAGCTTCTGAGAATCCCAAGGGGGGAAATTATTACTATTGTAATGGCATCTCCTGTGCTCACTGGCATTCAGAAGTACAATGTTTTGAACCATTTTTTAAAAAAATTGTGCAATGATGTTATAACCCACTGTGGGACTTTTGGAATAAGAACTTCTTGTGCCAGAGATTCTGCAACTGTGATGTAGTGGAAGGACTGTAGATTAATGGTAGAGCATCTGTTTTGCATGTATAAGGTCCTAGGTTCAGTTCCTGTCATCTCTAGTTTAGGGCTAGGAAAAGACTCTTGCTTGAAACCTTGAAGAACCACTACCATTCAATGTAGACCAGAGCTTTCCAAAGTTTCCATGTTGGTGACACATTTTTCAGACATGTTTCATTTCGTGATACAGTAATCCAGTTTTGCTAGCAAATTGGAGGTTAAACTAAACCCATTCCAGCCCCGCAAGGAGCGAAGGAAGTGTTCGTGCAAAACACTTAAACACTGCAGCCGACACGCTAACGTGTTGGGACACACACTTTGGAAAGCTTTGGTATATAGACAATACTGAACTCGATGGACCTTTATTATGACTCAGTGTATGGCAGCTTTCTATGTTCCTGTTCAACAGTCTGCTTTCAAAAGAGGCTCAATTATCCTTGAAGTTTTTGTTAAAAGGATGATTGAAGCAGAGCCTTTCTGTGGCTTCTTAATGCCTGTCAGTCAATTATGATGATAAGCTTGGAAGCAGCTACTTCCTGCATCCCAATCAGCTGAAAATAACACTGCATTTAGAAAATCGGTGTTTAATGAAATGGTAATTATGTTGTTAATAAATCAAACCACGACTAAATTCAACTTGGAATAATTCCTGCCAATTTGCAATTGAATTTAGAATTTGTAGCAAACTAGTAGGCACTGTTGGTAGCCATTGAAATGAACTGCCTGTGTTTAGTTTTAAGAAAGGGGTCGTTACAAAAGTAATTAAACTGTACATTTATTATGAAGACAACTCATTGGTGCATAAATAGCAAAGAAAGAAACACTGAACTACACACACAAAGAACGGTTATGCTAGGAAAACGACATATTGTACAGCTGTTCAACTTTGCATGTTCGGCTTTATTAGTTTTGGGGTTTTTTAAAGAAATGTTTTATTAAAACGCAAAATCAAACATGGAACTAAATCATCACATAAAAGAGGTATGAAATGTAGGGTTGCCATATTTCAAAGAGGACACATTTGCCAACTTCTGCTTTTAAACGGTGGATCTCTATGACGGCTCTCGCCTAGAAAAAGAGGGTGTGCCCTGGAAAAAGAGGACATATGGCAACCCCAAACGAAATATCAAAGCCGAGACGAAGTGGGAGCTGAAGACATTAGGAATACATTCTAGACTTTTGATATAAGAGAAATTATAACAAGTTTATAACACAAAATCACGGTTGATATGGCTATCCCTCATTTTCTAGGGAACCATTGTTTGTGAAGCTCTGCACATATCCCTGCTTTATTGTACAGTGGTACCTCGGGTTACATGCGCTTCAGGTTACAGACGCTTCAGGTTACAGACTCTGCTAACCCAGAAATAGTGCTTCAGGTTAAGAACTTTGCTTCAGGATGAGAACAGAAATCGTGCTCCGGCTGCGCGGCAGCAGCAGGAGGTCCATTAGCTAAAGTGGTGCTTCCGGTTAAGAACAGTTTCAGGTTAAGAATGGACCTCTGGAATGAATTAAGTACGTAACCAGAGGTACCACTGTATTTGTATTGTTGTTGTTGTTGTTGTTGTTGTTTAGTCGTTTAGTCGTGTCCGACTCTTCGTGACCCCATGGACCAGAGCACACCAGGCACTCACTCCTGTCTTCCACTGCCTCCCGCAGTTTGGTCAAACTCATACTGGTAGCTTCGAGAACACTGTCCAGCCATCTCGTCCTCTGTCGTCCCCTTCTCCTTATGCCCTCCATCTTTCCCAACATCAGGGTCTTTTCCAGGGAGTCTTCTCTTCTCATGAGGTGGCCAAAGTATTGGAGCCTCAGCTTCAGGATCTGTCCTTCCAGTGAGCACTCAGGGCTGATTTCCTTAAGAATGGATAGGTTTGATCTTCTTGCAGTCCATGGGACTCTCAAGAGTCTCCTCCAGCACCATAATTCAAAAGCATCAATTCTTTATTGTATTAGCCGCAGCCATTTATATGTCAAGGGGAGGGGTTTATGTTTTGCTTTGCTGCTATTTCAATTAAGTGTATGTCAAGAATTGCCCATCAACAGATCTAACACAGGGCTAGTGAGTAAACGTGAAAGAGCTATCCTGTTGTTTCAATACAGCATCACCGATGTGTTAATATTTCCAAGAGAAGAACAGAGCTGTTTGGGTTGATTATACCGCTTAAGTGGATGCCACCACATGGGGATATTACATGGTCTTCCATACCCCTTTTCTATTTATTTTCAGTATTTTTTCTGGCCCTTAATCAACCATGCTGAAAGCACTGTTCTCATTTTAATTGGCTCCTGTTGCTTCAATGCAGGTGAGACTTAAGTAAGTTAGGAAAGGAGACAAGACAAACTCAGAGAGAGACAACCGTTGAGGACTCTTCCACATGTTCCTTGAGAATGCACCTTTTTCACACATCCATTTCACGAACTTTTTCTGCATATGTTGATTGAACATGTATTGTACTGTAACTGTATTGTAAAATTTGAATTTTTTTTTTTTAAAAATTAAAAAATAATGATAAACGAACTGAAGCCTCTGTTGGCCCACACCACAGCTGTTCATCAACTGATCTCACATTCCATTGCAACAGGACCATGTGCCCTGCTAAATTGTTTATCGGATCGACAATGAAACCTTCCTCCCTTTGCCATCAACCCATAAATTCAATGACACTGAACAGCAACAAGGAAGTGATCTAGCTCAAGAACAAAAAAAGGAAAAGAGCAGGAGGGACTCAGACCAGGTTAACAAAAAGGTACTTCCAACTGATGACCAAACTAGTATGAAAGCAGCAATTAAAATACAGAAGTGTCCCAATCACATAGAAAGAGTGATTCTGGGATCTATTATTAACAGAAATAGGGGCTTATGGAAGAGAGATGCTGACCCCCTCATCCACTGTCCTGGCTTATGTTCTCTAAGAAGAGATGATCAAGGAGGATGCTCATGTTTGAAATAAACCAGGCATCCTTGAGCAGCCCAGTCGAACAGAAGCCATGCCTGGGGACTTCATTGACCCATTTTTACTGTTCAGGCCATAGGCGCCAAGTATAAGGGGTGCTGGGGGCCTGGGCACCCACTAAAAAAAATTTAAAGTGATTAACGTAACATCACAATGCCACGTTATGTCGCAGGTGCCATTGGGTGCCCATAACCTGGGGCCCAAGTTGGTGCCCCTGTTTCAGGCATTCCAGTGACATTACCTTACAGCCCACAAATTGGAGAGCATTTAGTGTTGTCTGTTGTTACACCTGTTGCTAAAATATGTTCAACTGTGATTTTATACTGGTTTAAAACTGTGCCATTTAGAGAACAATTATTATGAGAAATCGGTTAAACAGAGGACATAATTAAATAAGGCATGTAAAATTTTGTGCCACTCCTACCATGCACAGAAAATAGAGAGGGTATGTACACACACCTAAGGAAGTTTCCCACCCTCCATTCAAGAAAACGTTGCTTTTGGTTTGTTCCTCCAATAGTTAGCTGGGGGGGGGGGGAGAGAAGCTAACCTAAAGTAACCTGAAAATATCCCTTTTGTTCATCAACTGAAACTTGAAATAATTCACTTTAGCCAGCTAATTAAGCAATTAATTTAATAAAGTGGAACAGTTAATGAGCTAAAAACAGCAATCTTGAATCAGCCAGCACTATGAAACTATGAATTAGTGTCATTAGGTAACACACACACACACACACAGAGAGAGAGAGAGAGAGAGAGAGGGATTTTAAACAATGTGATTTTGGCCTGGTGGTGGTAACTGACATAAATATGTTTCCTTCCATTTCCTGGCATGGGTGGAAGTGATGGGCACAAACAGGAGCTAATGAAGGATTGGGTTCCAAAAAGTCATTCCTGCCTTGTACAGGCATCAGCTGAAAGCAATGTTTATAAGGATGCTTTGAAGGGGGTTGGAATAGAGGGTCCAGCTCTACAATTCTATGATTCTATGTTTTAGCTGAGCCTGTTTCTTACTCTAGCTTCTGCCAAATTCAATTCACTTTTGGTCCCACAGCTAGGGAGGGCATATCGGGCCCACTGGCAGTGGACGAGGAGTGCGGGGGGAGCGCACCGTCCCCTGCAGTGCGATCCTGGTAGGGGGCCATTGCAGCTGCCCCTCCTGCCCGTGCTGGGTGCCACGCCCCTGCAGGTGGTGTGCCCCGCCCCCGCCTGCTCTCCTCCCCCCGGTGCCGGAGTATGAAGCTCTGCCACTGATCTGGCCATTGTAGTTTCTCTCTGCTTCTCATTTTTCCAATCTTAAATGCAGTTCTCCACATTTCCATATCATGTTGCAAATTTAAACAACAACAAAAACCCTCATGAAATTTCTTCAACATTTTAGTACTCATTTCTCCTAATATACACATTCAGTCTCGCTGTCTTAATTTTTCTGGGACAAGATCTGTTCCTCTTAAACTGAGGAATAGCATTCACATTTCAGTCAGAGAGGAATTTTGCTTTAAGGTTATTCATGTAAGCCAGTTAGAAATATGTTCTGGTTTCACTGATCTTCCAAATCTCTGCTCGTATCTTGGTGTGTCCTAGTAGAAAAATATATAGAAAGCCACGTTTTCATTTTCACAGAACAGTTCTTCCTTCCGTGACAGTATTTAAATTTAATAATGCAGCAAAACAGAGCCCATAACTCAGGGCTTAAATAATAGCTTGAAAATGGCTTCTCTTAACACTACCGGCAGAGTGAAATATGTGGAGGTATAATCAAATTGTGCTCACTGATCCTACTGGTGTAATAGCTAGGACAGCAAAAGGATAGCGCTCCAATCTTTTTATATTGTTCTTGCTATTTTTACTTTAAACACACACTCATTTTAAACTATGTCAGTCACAGAACAAACTTCATTTATCTAGATGCCCCTGGGAACTGCTTCTAAAGCAAGATAATCTGAATTTTGGATAAAAAGAAAGACAGGGGGATCTTTAAACTGCTGGGTGATTAATGTAGTGCAAGTGGTGTCTATTTCCCCCTCTTTCTGTTTCAGACTGCTTTTGCTGTTTTGTTTTGAAGCATGTAGTATTTATCGATTTAGCAATATTAACCTGATCCTATGCACATATACTTAAGTGTTCTATATGGGACGTCCCCCTAAGTGTGGACAGGTTTGTCAACTTTGCTAATGCAATCCTGATTCACAATCATTGGGTTGTGTTCAACTAAGCCATGCTCAGAGTAGACCCGTAGAAATTAATGGAGATCACAAGCTTAAGTCTACTGATTTTTATTGGGTCTGTTCTGATTATGACTTGTTGGATATAGCCTATTATTTTAGAAGAGAATGCTGTCATTGTGGATGCTATTTCAGAGCCAGCTGATGAGGATCATAATGTTTTATTGCTACATTAGCATAAAAGACACAAAATGATAAACATGCAAAACAGGGAAATTCTTCCTGAAGAGGCGAGGCATCACCAGTGAGGACATCAAACTTTTCCAGCCAAGGTTTCAAATGACCAGCCTGACCCAGCTACTTGTTATACCTGTTAGGAAGCAGACTTTGCACAGGTAGCCCTAGTGCATGGAGGAACTGCAGGTGAAAATGGGTTTTATGATATGTAACACCAAAAGACAACTAGCCAATCATATGGTATGCTTGTGAAACATGGACCACTTATAAACACCATCTCCAACTCATCGGAAAATTCCATCAACGGTGTCTCTGAAAAATTCTACATATCACTTGGGAAGACAGGTGAACTAATGCCCATGTACTGGAAGAAGCAAAGATCACCAGTGTTGAAGCAATGATTCTTCAACATCAACTTCGTTGGACTGGACATGTTGTTTGGATGCCTGATTATCGTCTTCCAAAGCAACTACTCTATTCCAAACTTTATTTTTATTTTTATTTTTAAATTACTTTTCCAACAATTTAAACACTACAAAAACAATACAATACAATACAAAAACACTACATAGCATTGACATTAAACACATTGAACTAACAAAACAAAACAAAAACAATAAAATAAATCAAACAATTTCATTATCCCATCTTTCATTCACTTATTTCCAGGACCTCCTCACACCTCCCTTTTTGTATTCCACTTCTGTTAATTGTTTCAGCAATTCCTTTCCATCTTCCTCTGTTTTCTATCCTATAATTATCTTAACTCATTCTAACCTTATTTTTTCCTTTAATACTCTATTAATCTATTTATACTTAATTCCTCATAACATTTCTACTAAAGCCATATAACTTCATTCCAACAATTTTCTAACATTCATTAATTTTACAGTATTTCTGTAAATAGTCTTTAAACTTTTTCCAGTCTTCTTCCACCGACTCTTCTCCCTGGTCTCGGATTCTGCCAGTCATTTCCGCCAGTTCCATATAGTCCATCAACTTCATCTGCCATTCTTCCCGGGTGGGTAAATCTTGTGTCTTCCAATATTTCGCGACGAGTATCCTTGCTGCTGTTGTTGCATACATAAAAAAAGTTCTGTCCTTCTTTGGCACCAATTGGCCGACCATGCCCAGGAGAAAGGCCTCTGGTTTCTTCAGGAAGGTATATTTAAATACCTTTTCATTTCATTATAAATCATCTCCCAGAATGTCTTAATCCTTGGGCATGTCCACCAAAGGTGAAAGAATGTACCTTCAGTCTCATTGCATTTCCAACATTTATTGTCGGGCAAATGATAAATTTTTGCAAGCTTGACTGGTGTCATGTACCACCTATAAATCATTTTCATTAAATTTTCTCTTAGGATACTCTATTCCAAACTTTAAAATGGAAAGCATAATGTTGGTGGTCAACAAAAGAGGTTGAAAGACTGTCTCAAGGCAAATCTTTAAAAATGTAGTATAAACACCCACAATTGGGAAACACTGGCCTGCGAGCACTCCAGTTGGAGAACAGCCTTTACCAAAGGTGTCATGGGCTTTGAAGACACTCAGACTCAGGACGCAAGGGAGAAACATGCTAAGAGGAAGGCCCGCTTGACAAATCCACACCGTGATCAACTCCCACCCAGAAACCAATTTCCGCACTGTGGAAGGACGTGTGGATCCAGAATTGGCCTCCACTGTCACTTATGGACTCATTGTTAAAACCATGTTTATGGAAGACGATCTTACTCGGCCACGAGTGATCGCCAAAGAAGAAGACATCCGTGTGTGTGTGTGTGAGAGAGAGAGAGAGAGAGAGATGCATGTTTCTTATCTGCATTCATGAGTGTGTGCACATGTTTGACTCTCTCTGCTTCTTGTTTTTCTCTCTGCCATGCTTGTATGAAAGGCTACATAACAATTCCGGGTTAGGTGGGGAATATATCTGTAAAATAATTAGATATTATTATTATTATTAATACCCTGTCCATCTGGCTGGGTTTCCCCAGCCACTCTGGGTGGCTTACAGCACTATTATTTTTGATAGTGCTGTAATAAAACATAATAAAATAAATAAAAATAAAACATAATAAAAACATCATGCGTTTTAGTGGGTTGGGATAGGATTGTCCTTTCAGGATGAGCACTATTCAAAAATTACGTTTTATTCTTTCCGGTGTTTGTTTTAAACTTTTGTATTTGAACCTTTTTACTTCAAATTGTAAGTCACTTTGAGTCAATTTACAGCGCTGGTGACAAATAAATTTAATAAACAATAACTTTACGCTTACAGCTATGGACTCTGTTGAACAAGACACAGTTTGGCATGCAGTCCAAATAGCATGTTGTTTCTGTTGTTGTGACAGAGCAGTTGGTGTGACAGTCACCGTGCCTCGTTCTTATTAGCTAGTACATTGATCTTGATGGTACATCCATTAACATTAACTGGGCAGGGAACAGCCCTTCGAAATGTTAACAGGATGACATTTCAGCTCTTGCTCAGCTCCTTGAGGCCTCAAGAAACTAAGTGAATCTTAATGCAGAGCAAATAAAATGATAGTTTTAAATCTCATGAGTGGGTGTGCATGTGGTGATATGAATGATTCCTGTTCGCTGCAGTGATCTGTCTTATCTGTCTCTAGAGGGGAAATGGGGGAAATTACAGCACGTATTGTGTTTCTAAACTGAGGTATGATTTATCTCCACTATATATTTATCAGGGAGACCCTGTGGTTTGGGTTGGGGTTGATTTTTTTTTTCCTTTTCCCAGGCAGTCATGTATCATTAACTAAAGGATTCACCTCATAGTTTTGAATGAACGGCCACTAATGTTTCCTTGTGAAGTCCTTCCCGTCTATCTGCTTAATAAATCATCCAGACACGTTCTCCATCATGGGCAGCACTCAAAACTGTGGGCAGAGCCAAAGAGCCTTAGTCTCTTGGCATACACAAGTTGAGAATTCAGGGCTTTTTTTTCAGCTGGGACTTGCCGTAACTGAGTACCAGCACATCTCAGGTAGATACCATTGCCATTATAAGAGAACAAGGGAGTTCATGGTGAGTTCCGGCAGCTCTTTTTCTAGAGAAATAGCACTGGTTGAGGCAATAAAGTTATACTATATTTAAGGACCATGGGCTGGCAGAGCACATGCCCCAGTCCAAATCCTTGCATTTCCAGGAAGGACTCCATTTTGAAAACCCAGAGAGCCACTGTGAGGCAGTGTAGATAGCACTGAGACTGATACAAAATAGTGGAATTATGATATTCACATCCTGGATGAGAAAGGCATTCAAGGCTGCGTCTCTCTATGGGGACACATTGGGCTGTGTCACCCAGTACCCAACGTACCCCTAAGCCACAGTCTCGCCCATCTAATTTGTACAAGCCACCTGACCAAATAGACTGTTTCTGGTCACATTCTCTCCCCATATAAACCATCCCAGACTCTGAGTTCATCATCTGAGGCCCTTTTTCATGTGTCTCCTTCACGTGAGGTCCGGAGGGTGGCAACACAAGAATGAGCTTTCTCTGTGGTGCCCCCCCCCCAACACCATTTGTGCAATGCCCTCCCTAGGGAGGTTTGCCTGGTGCCTTCATTATATATTTTTAGGCTCCAGGTGAAAACATTCCTCTTCAACCAGGTCTTTGGCTCATTAATATCCCACAGCCTTTTAAATGTGTCTGTGGGAAGGGGGCAGGTTTGTTTTGCTGTTTTGTTTTCCTTATTTACTTCTTTTTACCCTGTATTTTATTCTGTGAACTGCCCAGAGATCTTATGACAACAGGTGGCATATAAATCTAATAAATAAAATAAATTCCTGAGGTGACCACTTGGAGTTGCTGTGATCACTAGGCCTGAGCTGTTCCGTTTCTTTGACCATCTAGTCAAAGGAGTGTGTCCAATTCTGAATGGGACTTGTCTTGGCAAATGGAGGACCTTTGTTTTTCCAGCTCCTCCCCACCCTCTGCTTCTTCATTATATTTAAATCTTTGCACCATCACTAACAATTACAGTACAGTGGTACCTCGGTTTATGAACTTAATCCGTTCCGGACGTCCGTTCTTAAACCGAGGCGCGCTTTCCCTAATGAGGCCTCCCACCACCTCCCAATGCCTTCCACCATTCGGATTCCATTCTTAGACTGAGGTAAAGTTCACAAACCAGGAGACTTCCAGTTTTGTGGAGTTCGTATACCGAATAGTTGGTAAAAAGGGCTGTTCTTAAACCGAGGTACCACTGTACTGGCTATTTATAATTAAAGGTTTTGGGACACGTCCTGTGGAGACAAGGTAGTATCGAGAACCCTCCCTAAATCTTTATCCAGTATTCGCTTCTTTGCTTTTTTAGCTTATCGCCTTCGTGGTCTCGTCTGGCAACAGTTCTGTAGACTGTGATCCAAAGCACGGCTCACTTTCGCCCAACATGAGCTGCCTTATGAACTGGGAAGGATCATAAACCACACAGTTGGGCTGGATAGGTACATGCTATAATGGCCACAGATCAGACACTGTGCACAGATGCTCAAGAATGAGATCAGGGTCATTAGTGTTCATAGAAATGATCTTCCAGCAACAGGAGGTTCCTGCAAGATTACAAGAAGGAAACAGCTCTTCAATCTTTGAGCCTTACAATTATTACATTGCTCTGCCCATTATATCTGCACTCTTTTTAGCAACAAGGGATCTTAGCGGGTTGTTTTCTTTATTAAAGATTTAAAAGAGTTCCCCCTCCCCAATACAAAATCTTTTACATGGCTGAAAGGGAGTGGTTTTGTAAAATAATAACTCCCATGAAAAGGGAGGCTTCTGCACTGACACTTTCAGGCATCCTGTGCTCCCACCATGCTTGCCTATATAAGGCACCTGCTCCTATCATATAATCATAGAATTGCAGAGTCGGAAGGGACCACGAGGATCATCTAGTCCAACCCCCTGCAATGCAGGAATCTTTCTCCCAACGTGGGGCTCAAACCCACAACCCTGACATTAAGAGTCTCATGCTCTACCGACTGAGCTATCCATTAATCATGAGCCTCCTTCCTCAAACTACCCTTCCTAGTGACAATGGCATTGCCAGATTGTGACAACTTCACTGAGAACAAAAGAAGTTAGTGCAGAGTGAGGGCAAATGAAGCTAGTTCACAATCAGGGCAATCCTTCCTGAATAGGCATTGGACATTTCATTAATGTTAACGTTAGATTTGTATTTGTGTGTGTGTGTGTGTGTCCCCATATGTTATCCTGAAGCTAGAAACGTGTTGGGACTTGGCTATTATTTTGAATTAATCCATTTTCATGTGCCTTTTACATCGCAATGCAGAAGCGATGTAACTGATTGCAATGCAAAAGCCTAACCTTTTCCCGCGACTTACTAGTCGCGCTGTGCATGCTCTGAACATTCAAGCACGTTGATGAAAATCCGCTATCAACCACTGATGTCAAAACTGCACAGACTTTCCGGTTTCTTAGAATTGCTGAGCAACGCTGGCCGTGAGGCTGCTAGCAGGCAATAGATTCAAATTGCTATATGTTGAATTCATCAAATATATTATTGTGGTGAGCCTACATGACGGGCAGGCTTTCAGCTCGATCCAAATTTAACTGCACTTTTTGAAAGATTTCCCCGCATGAACTGCTAGTGCGTTTCTCAGATGAAAATAGGGGCATTTCTTACTCCCCACCCCTTGCCATGGGCATAGCCAAGGGGAGGCAGGGAAGCCCCCTAGCAGAAGCCTGATCCCCCCAATGTCCCTCTTTACAGGGTATTTTACGGGGGAAAGGAAAAGCTCAACAACTTTGATTTCCTAAAAAAGATTTGCCCATGGCTCCTGCCCCAACTGACCCTCCTCAATCCCCCATTCCCCCACCCCACAAAGCATTCCCATCACCACCACACCAATGAGACACAGCACAACATCTCCACACGGTACTGAGACAAGCCGCTAAACCCGATTTGATTTGATTCTTTGGTAGATTTACAAAAAAGAAACGCACACATTCATAAATAAATTTTAGAAAGGGGCAAGATTAGACATGCTCCCTCACAGACACCACTGCTGCTGCCGTCATCGCTCAGGACAAACAGCAGCTCATCCTCCTCTGCAAGCTCAGCAGCAGTAGCACTAAAAGAGAAAATAGGGGCATTCCAGGATCAAATCAGAAGCCGGGATGGCTTTCACAATTCCGGGACTGTCCCTGGAAAATAAGGACACTTGGAGTGTATGCTACTGCCAGAATGGGACTACACATCTGAACGTACTTCTAATTGAAAGGCCCTTGGATTGTAGGTTTCTGCTTGTTAAAGACAGCCTCTTAACCTAAAACACCTACTCACTAGCAAGAACACACCTCATAAAAATCTGGGCATATCCATCAGAACCTGCAGCAGACCAAGATGGCAACTCTCACTCCATGTTTACGCTGGCAGCATTATTATTACAAGACCTATAATTACAAGACCTAACCACAGCAAAAGGTGAGTCTTGCTTCCAGGTTTAGTTGTTTCCTGGCTACTCCTGTGTGCTATACCAGCTTGTATATCTTCGATACTGCAGGTTATTACTGGAATGTTAGTATTGGTGCATGTTATTGGGTTCACATTATTGTAAAAATCCATTCCCCAGATTTCCTGGTTGTGTAGCTCACCTCTTCTTGAGCCCAGAAGATGCAAGCAGCAAAGTTCTGCAACTTCAGCTTCCAACTAGATAGCTGGAATCAGACATTGACCGCCAAGTCACACATCTCCTGGCACAGTGGTGTTTCTATGCTTGTTCTAAAGTAAAGACACCCCCACCCCTCTAAGAACCATGTCTTAAAACGTCTCCATTTTAAATTGAAATGGCACCCAGGGCAAAAAGGCACCTGACACCAGTCATCCCAGTTAAATAAGAACAAAGACAGCTTGGAATTGAGTGGAATGACCTCATTCCTTTCCTTGTGTACTCTTGCCCTTTCTAAAGACAGAAAGAAAATCCAATATTAGGCTGCAAGAAATACAACTTAAAACAATCAATTACTTAGCCTGCTCTGTTCCCTTTGAAAGCTATTTTTTTTCACTTTCTGCCTAGTCACCAACTGGTTTAATTGCAAAGGATTAAGTAGTTTCTGGGGGTCCCGTTTCCTCTCTTTTTCACAATAAAAGTTGAGATTAACAGGACTACTGTAACAGAACCAAGGCAATTCTCAACCTAGGTGAGGGAGAGGGTTGGTTTTCGGGGGGAGGGGGTATCATACAGATACAGTAACAGGCTGACTAGCTGTCGCACCAGTATATATAACCCCAGGAACATGATGATGCCAACTCCCAACGTTGTGTGAATGGGCTAGGAAGACTTAGGCTGAATTCTTCATTTTGCCATGAACCTCGTTGGGAAATGTCATTCATTCATTCATTGAATTTGTATACAGCCTTTCATCCGAAGATCCCAGGTTCTTCGATCCGATTCGGATCCCAGGTTCTGGGATCCGAAGATCCCAGGTTTCAGGTTCACACTGGGCCAGCTACCATCTCTCAGCCTAACCTACACAGGGTTGCTGTAAAGATTGAATAGGGAAGAACCCCGTATGACACCTTAAGATCCTTGGAAGAAATATGGTGTCGTAGTCTCATTGCTGAGCAACAATATGCAGAGCTCAGTGGCTTGGGAGAGATTCTGAGCTGTACTTGTCTGGAGGCAGAGTCGGCATCTGAAGTCAGGTCCAGTGTTAGGGTTGGGTGAACAGCCACCTGCATTTGTCAGATGGTCCAGGGCTTAGGGAACCCAATGATCATGGCGTCAAGGGTCAAGATGAGCAGGATGCAGTCAGGTAGGGCCAGGAACTACAAGCGTTGTTTCCAGCATCTGACTGCTGCTGGAAGCTCTGCCTAAGAAGGCTGGAGCCAGCTGGTTCTCATCAGTGCCTTCTCCTCTGAGTCCTTGAAGGCTGATCAGCTGCAGGTGCAGTCACTCTCCCTTCTCCCTTAATAGGCTGCTGTTTAGCAGGTGATGGGATATGAATATCATGAAAAATAAATAATAATACAACCACTAAGAATGGCAGGAACACCCTTCACATCTGCAACCCTAGTACTTGGCTGTTTGCAGCAAGAAGGGCCTTAGAAGCATTGAGGAAGCATATATTCTATGGACAGGGAACTTTAGTTTTCCAGGTACAGTGGTACCTCGGGTTACATACGCTTCAGGTTACAGATTCCGCTAACCCTGAAATAGTACCTCAGGTTAAGAACTTTGCTTCAGGATGAGAACAGAAATCATGCTCTGGCGGCACGGCGGCAGCAGGAGGCCCCATTAGCTAAAGTGGTGCTTCAGGTTAAGAACAGTTTCAGGTTAAGAACGGACCTCCGGAACGAATTAAGAACTTAACCCGAGGTACCACTGTTCTATTGGACTCCAAGGACTATCAGCCCCAGCCAGAATGGCCAATGGTCAAGGATGGTGGGAGTCCAACAATATCTGGTGGGTACCACATGGGCTGTCTCTGATCTAGGAGTACAGGAAATTGCCTTATACCAAGTCAGCAGAGCATTTGTCCCCCTAGCTCAGTATTGGCTGAGAGTGGCTTTCCAGGATTTCAGACCAGAGGACATTCCTAAACCCTACCTAGAAATGCTAAGGATGGACACTTTAGATATAAAGTGTCTGAGCTATGGCTGTCCCTTGACATCTTTTGGTGGTCCCAAGATGGCAGTTTCCTCCCTTGCAAGCCTGAAGTTCAAAACTGGTCAATTTTTAATTGCGTGAAAGGGGATAATGCACTTGGAGTTTTATACTGGGGAAAATGAAATGGTGATTAGGAAGTCAAGGAGGACCCTGCTTCTCCCCCATGTTCCAAGTATCCATAAACTTACATCTGGGGCAGATCAGAGGAGAACAAGGCAAGGCAAATATTTTACAGGCCCCAGTTTAACACGTTTGCCTGCCAGGGATAAGACTGGGACTTCCATTCTCAGACTCCTCAATGGGAAATTAGCACAATGTGTAGTTTCTGCCAGGGAGAAGGCCTTATGAAAATGTTTCAAACCCTATTAGAGAGGTCTGTCCCTACATCTCCTACCCAGCCTGGTTATATAAAAATGTTGGCAGATTTCAGTGTGATTAGACTTTAAATATTTTGAAAGAGCATCAGTCACTCCAGAGAAGCTGAAAGTTCAGATAAATAAGCATGCTATTTACATAGTAGAGTTGAACTGGCATGAGGCCCCAACAGAAGGAACGCACAGATTTTGGCAAGTCAGTATCGAAATGTGCATGAGTTGGAAACTGGGATGGTTCCATGCGATCTTGAACAACTTGCTTTCAAATATTCTGGTGACAGAAAAATTGACTGTACCAATCTGATATAATATTCCCTACAGAAGAAAACACATATGGTGGAAGTTATTAAACATGAGAACACTTGCAAGTTAAATAATAATAATCCTGCCTTTATTGAGACTTTTCTCTTTCCTGAAAAAGGATATAGTTTTGGAAGGCTCATAGCTTAAGTAGATTACTCCGTGGTAGACGATCTGCCCCAGAGTCAATCCTCAGCTTCTGCAAGGAGGACTGGGAGAGGCCCTTATTCGGAACCATGAAGAGCCTCTGGCAATCAGTTCAGAAGACTGAGCTAGACAAAGCAATGGTCTGCCTCAGTATAAGGCAGGTTCCTATATACTTTTTATGTATAAATTTTATTAAGTTTTCTATTTTACAATTTAAAATACTCATTAAACAACCTTAAAATGACAATGACTTCCCTTCTTCTCTTTCTACGGTTCAATTTGCACATCATAAATCCCTGCATATTTTACATAAATTAAACATTTCAGTATTCCATTAATACACCCATCAAAACTTGTTTACACTGTTGAATTTATCTTAATGCTCCCAACGTTTTCAAGTGTACACAGTTTCCCCCCATATATTCAGTAAACATTTTCCAATCTTCTCTAAATGTATGTTCTTCTTGTTCTCTTATTCTATATGTTAGGTCTGAAAACTGTACATATTCCATCAGTTTAAGTTGGCATTCTTCTTTAGTTGGGACCTCGCCCGTTTTCCATTCTGGGGCTAACAAAACATGGGCTGCAGTAGTGGCATACATAAATAACCTTTTTTGACACCTGCGAATTTCCATCTGAATTATCCCCAACAAAAAGGACTCTGGGTTTTTTGGGAAAGTACTTTTAAACTTTTTTTTTCAATTCAGTATAAATTATTTCCCAATACTCTTTTACCCTATACAGGTCCACCACATATGAAAGAACGTACCCTCAGCCTCATTGCATCTCCAACACTTATCAGAACAGAATCTGGTTCCTATGTACATTTAAGTCATCAGGATCGACAATACTCCATGACATAAAAAGTTACACAAATAGCATGTGGTGTCTAACTGACCCCACCATTTCTTCAAAAGATAGAAACATATTGAGCCAGTGGCATACATACATTGTAACGTTGCACAAATATAGCAGTGCAATAGTCATGAGTCTGTTACTGGTAACAACCACAAATCTCCCACAAATTGCAACAGGGGTGCATGCTACCTGAGCACCCCATGCGCATCACAACTACATAGGTAGCACATACAAAATGGTTACATGAAGCACACCTGCCATTGTGCCAACTATGGAGATGACACCTTCCTTTTCCTTGGAGGCAGCAGTAGGAGGCCTTACCAGTTTTCTGAGGCTGCCTCACTTGGTGTCCCAGGTAAGATGGCTGTGTGTCGACACTCAACCCAGGCTTTGATATGAAAGTCACATAAAGAAGAAGGAGGAGGAGGAGGAGGAGGAGGAGGAGGAGGAGAAGAAGAAGAAGGAGGAGGAGGAGGAGGAGGAGGAGAAGAAGAAGAAGAAGAAGAAGAAGAAGAAGAAAGGAGCTTTGCCCTTGGGAGTAGGACAACTGGGAGACCAGGTATGGGGGGGAAAGAAGCCACAAATTTATTGATTACGGAAAATATTTGGGAATGGCTAGGCTTGGGGTGAGGATCAGTGGTTGGAGAACACACCTGCTATCCAATGTGCTACCTTCCAGCCAGACTGCTGGAGCCCCTCCAGGGAGTAGCAAGCAAAGGTCCTGCAGTGGTGCAAGCCAGGGTTGAAGGTTAAGCTGGAGTAAGTGATGTGTGGTGCAGTATCTGACCTTCTGAGATAGGGCTAAGGCCTAATGTACTGCCCCCAACACCCCATGGGGCATTCCTCCTTATACTAACAATCCTACACCATCCTAGCAGACATCTACTTTAGTAAGATGAATGAAAAGAATTCATTCTATCCATTGAGAGTGGGCATATCTTAGGGATGCATATGGTTTTCATTCAAAACGTGTCAGGTTGCTGATGCTAGCCAATATAGACAGCACTGAACTGGATAAGCCCACCCCCTTTTTTGGGGGGGATAATGCTCCTACTTCCTCTGAAGAGTAATGATGATTTTTTTCCTCCTCTTAGCATCTAATTTCCTCCCAAACCTTCCTATTGTTATCAGGTGATGCCTTAAGCTAATTGTACCATACACAAAAGATAGCTGCACTTGCTTCATGTTTCCTCGCAGTCTTAGCGAAAGCCTGTAATGCCAGCTTTTATTTTAATCCCCTTCTTCAAGTTCAATGGCGCAGCTTCAGTTTTGTTCTTCCTCCCCTCCAGGCAAGAGTCACAGAGCAATTGCCCCCTTACTTCGTCCGTGTTGGAAGAGTAAGCAATTCAAGCATATTAACTTTACAGCAGCTAAGTGCAGGGTTGCACCGTGTGAAGAGTGCACACAAATTTTCCTATCAAACAAAACATTAATTATAATAATTATTTTTAACAGCGTGCCCACTGCCACTTTGGATTCACCAAGATGCTAATGCAAGATGGAAATGGTTTGTGCACAGTGGCCCCAAAGTCAACTGGGGTGCCCACACATATTTATTAATTGCTTTTTTAATATATTAAAAAAATGCTAACGCTTCTGAGTGAACTGTATTTATGCTTCTGGAGAGACAGGATAGTAAGCTGTTAATCCCATACCAAAAGAGGAACGAAACTGAAAAGTTAGAAAAGATTGAAGAGCACCATGGAGAGGAGAAGCCATGACTTAGAGATCAAACTAAGCTAATTTGGGGGAGGGGGAGAGAAGCAAAGGGAAAGCCACTGAGAATGATAGAAGAGAAAGAAATCTGATAATTTGTTCAGCATGAGAGAGGGAGAGAGGTAGAGGGGGGATGATAGATAGATAGATAGATAGATAGATAGATAGATAGATAGAGATAGATAGATAGATAGATGATAGATAGATAGATAGATAGATAGATGATAGATAGATAGAGATAGATAGATAGATGATAGATAGATAGATAGATAGATGATAGATAGATAGATGATAGATAGATAGATAGATAGATAGATGATAGATAGATAGATAGATAGATAGATGATAGATAGATAGATAGATAGATAGATAGATAGATAGATAGATAGATAGATAGATAATAGAGAGAGACAGACAGACAGATAGATGATGGGGTAATCAGGGGTCAGCAAATTTTTTCAGCACAGTCCACTGTCCCTCAAACCTTGGGGGGGCCAGACTATATTTTGAAATAAATAAATACAAATGAACGAATTCCTATGCCTATTCCTATTCCTATACAAATAACCCAGAGACGCATTTTAAATAAAACGGCACATTCTACTCATGTAAAAATACGCTGATTCCTGGACCGTCCGTGGGCCGGATTTAGAAGGTGATTGGGCCAGATCCAACCCCTGGGCCTTAGTTTGCCTACCCATGGGGTAGATGAAAGAATGAAGTGGAGATGGTCGCACTCTGGTCCCACCCATCATCAGCATGTGACACACAAACAGCAGATTACCCTTTATCGGTTCTGTGATTCATTGTTCTGGACTGGTCTTCTGCTACACAGGAGCCACACCCAGCATAGTGCCTCAACACAGACCCACGAGTTCCACAGAATGCAGGTAGTTTTTATCTTTACATCCATTAAAAATAAATCTTTCCCAGTGTGAGAATGAAGCAAGCCTCCTATCTTAACACGGGAAATAAATGTTGCTCAGCTATCAGTAGCTTGGGAAACAGAAGCAAAGCCTTATAAATAATTTCAACAATGTGCTTTATCAGAATGGCTGTGCTATTAAAGCATCCCTGTTTCATTCTGCTCAGGAGTGAGTTTATACCTGTCCCATGAAAGGTTATTCACTCTGGCATTTATCTAAGCATCTACCAACATTGCTAACAACTCAAGAATGAATGATCTGCAGAGCTGAAATATCATGTCTCACATATCAGGGAAAACAGAACTGTTTGCCATGGGTAAAAATTGTGCAATTGGTTCACAAATACAATGTCTGTAAGGTTAATGCTTCCTGCTGCAGTTTTCCCTGGCAAATATTATGTTCAAGAAGTTCAGGCAGCTGCCTACCAGCAGAGCATTGAAAGTACATAATAAAGGGGGTTTAGCATCCGTCTGTACAGCCAGTCAAACAGGACTCTCCCAGGTGCACTTGAAAAATCCTTCAAAATTCTTTCAACTCTGTTGACAACTTTTGTCTTCTAGCAAGATTTACAGTAATAGATCTTACCAGAAGGACCTCTTGGGAGCTTCTCAACACATTCACCCCCTGACGTTTGGTACCCACCATGAACATTTGTTGTAACCAAAGGTTTAGCCATTTATCTCATGATTAGCACTTCAAAAAATCTTTTGCAGTCTGGCATGTTTGCTTCCATCAGGCAATAGCCTTTTGCACACTTTGGATAATTGGCAGATCACCTTTTAAATCACTATCTCCCCAGTGATCAGGAAATCAGGAGAACTGTCAAAATGGACAGTCATTCCACTGTGAGGTTCTGGAGAAGGGTCAGCAAACATTTTCAGCAGGGGGCTGGTCCACTGTCCCTCAGACCTTGTGGGAGGCCGGAGTATATTGGGGGGGGGGATGAACGAATTCCTATGCCCCACAAATAACCCAGAGATAGATAGATAGATGATAGATAGATAGATGATAGATAGATAGATAGATGATAGATAATAGAGAGAGAGAGACAGACAGACAGATAGATGATGGGGTAGCCAGGGGTCAGCAAACTTTTTCAGCAGGGGGCCGGTCCACTGTCCCTCTGACCTTGTGGGTGGCCAGATTATATTTTGAAAAAATAAAATAAAAATGAACGAATTCCTATGCCCCACAAATAACCCAGAGATGCATTTTAAATAAAAGCACACATTCTACACATGTAAAAACACCAGGCAGGCCCCACAATTAACCCAGAGATGCATTTTAAATAAAAGGGCACATTCTACTCATGTAAAAACACACTGATTCCTGGACTGTTCGTGGGCTGGATTTGGAAGGTGATTGGGCTGGATCCGCCCCCCAGGCCTTAGTTTGCCTACCCATGTTCTGGAGAATTGCCGAGCAGAGCATTTTAAGAAATCATGTAAGAAATTGTTTGAAAGAAGGCACATTCTCAATGAGAAACCACCATAGTCATGGTGAGGATACTGAAATGAGTTTAATATTGTGTTTCGCCTTACCAGGCTAGCTTGCAGTCAGCTATGCCCAAATTGTGTATGTAGGAGAAGGATCCAAAGGCATAGTTGGTCCATAAGAGAGAGTTGCCACTCTCAGATAGATCCATTTGGGTGGATGCATGGAATGCAAGATGGCAAGTTCAGTTGCACAGAAACCAAATCTAGAATGCAATTTAGCTGACTTACTTACATTTAAACTGATTTACAGTGCAATGGATGTCAATAGTATTACTCCTTATTTTCATATCCTGGCATTTAAAAAAAAACCCCAACAACTTCTGCTTTAGTCAGAGTACTGAAGTCATTATTGGGTCATGGCATTAGGGCCACATTCGTAACATATATTTAAAGCACTGTGATCCCACTTTAAACAGCCATAGATCCCCCCAAAATTCTGGGAACTATAGTCTGTTAAGGGTGCTGGGCATTGTTAGGAGGCCCCTACCTCCACACAGAGTTATGATTACCCAAGTTGCCTGTGATTTATGATTAAAACACTCTTGGAATTGCTTGCTGATCAGAAGGTCGGCGGTTCAAATCCCCGCGACGGAGTGAGCTCCCATTGCTCGGTCCCTGCTCCTGCCAACCTAGCAGTTTGAAAGCACATCAAAGTTCAAGTAGATAAATAGGTACCGCTCCGGCAGGAAGGTAAACGGCGTTTCTGTGCGCTGCTCTGGTTCTCCAGAAGCGGCTTAGTCCTGCTGGCCACATGACCCGGAAGCTGTACGCTGGCTCCCTTGGCCAATAAAGTGAGATGAGCGTCGCAACCCCAGAGTCGGCCACGACTGGACCTAATGGTCAGGGGTCCCTTTACCTTTACCTTACAACTCTCAACAGAGGCAGTTTTAGGGTAGGACAACTGGTTTGCGCCGGGGGCAGGGGAGCACTCGGACCCAGCACTTTAAAGCCTAGACCTGTGCCTTGAAGGCTCAGGGCAAGTGTGGATGAGCCTTACCTAAGATAAGTGTGGATGAGCCTTACCTAAAATATTTACTGGCATGCAAGAGCAGCAACAAATGGTGGAAGAAATGGTGTAGAGAGAAAACAACTGCCTAATCCTTAGGCTTGGAAGCAGAGAATGCTATTGCTCTCACGTCTTAGCAGGGGGAAAGGTGTAGATTTCAATAAGTCGGCAGTGGGGAGACTTGTTTCTAAAAGATTAAAGTAGTATTTCAGGGCTACAGAGATTGGAAAAAACTGGCTTGAGCAGAAAGTTTTCTTAATGACAGATTACCTAATTGGGCAAAAACTCATTACGTTCCCGGACTTTATTTAGGCTGCACCTTTACAGATTAGAGAATGAACCCACTTGTCAATTCATGGGCATGGCACAATGCCCTGGAAAATGGAAACAGGCAGCCTGAGAAGTAAAATAAGACGTTGCATTCATTTGGGGATCTTTATTTTTAATGTTCTGTTTAATATACTTGGAGTGGGAAGTATAATGGAGCAATTATCCCAATACATTACAAGCAGCCTATTGTCTCTAGAACTGTGGGCAAAAGCTATAGGTATGTGAAACATTGTCTGCTCTGGTGGCTTCAGAGCCAGTGTGGTGTAGTGGTTAAGAGCGGTGGACTTGTAATCTGGTGAACCGGGTTCGCATCTCTGCTACTCCACATACAGCTGCTGGGTGACCTTGGGCTAGTCACACTTCTCTGAAGTCTCTCAGCCTCACTCACCTCACAGAGTGTTTGTTGTGGGGGTGGAAGGGAAAGGAGAATGTTAGCCGCTTTGAGACTCCTTAGGGTAGTGATAAAGCGGGATATCAAATCCAAACTCTTCTTCTTCAGCCCCGGCCCACCTATGAGGCAAGGTGAGGTGACCACCTCAGGTGGCAGGATCCACTGGGGCAGAGCATATTTCTGGAACAATCTGCCCACCCTATTGACACAAGATACCTACAGCACTGATGGGCATTCTGGGCTGGTGCTCTTGCACCTCCTGAAATTATCTATCAACCAGAATTCCAAGATTTTCTTAAACTTTTCAGCCAAAATCTAGAAATCTGCTGCATCTCTGCTGTTATAATGTAGCTATTTTGTTTCTCACCTGCTCCAGGCAGGACTCTGGTGGGATTCCAGCAAGAGCACAATAAAATACGTTGCAATGCACTCTATAAAATGAGATTGAATCGATACATCCTAAAGTCTCATCCCCAATGTAAATGCCTGGTCACTCAGGCAGCAAAACATGCTTCTTTCTACAGACATTGCAATGATCAGGGGCAAAGTCCCCTCCAGGTAAGTGTCTTGTTTTCTTCCGCAGAATCAAAAGGTCACATGTCTCTATATACATCTGAAACCTATTTGTGTCTTCAGGAGCAAGCCTTCAGAAACAATAGATGACTGGGGAAATTAAACCAAAGATCAGGGGAACCCTTTTTCCTCTACAACCTTGACTCTATTTCTGCTTGCAAACTGGTAAAGCGGGCTCAGAAGTTAATACACTTGCCAAATTATCAACAGCACATGTAAGGCCTTGTAGTTCAATATTAGGATGAGGAGGGAAGGTTTGGCAATCACTCAGGGGTGTGTCTTGCAGCGACCACACGATTTCTGGTTTGGACTTCAACTCAACACTTCAGAAAACAAGCTGTCTTGGTCCCAAGAACTCTGTAGGTTGCTCAGTTTGGCTTGGGATCTATCCAAGTCCATTTTGTCCTCCTAGTTTCACTAATGGGAAATAATAAAAAATAACCCTGGCTATAATTTCTCCACCCACAAAAAATAAATAAAAATGAAATGGATGAAGCCTGCCAAATTGCAGACAAGTAAGTCTAGGACTGTTTGTGCTTGGCACCTTCAGCGTATTATTATTATTGGTTAAATTTATATTCCAACCTCCTTCCCAAAGGAGGCAATAATTCACAGTCCTTCCTTCCCAGGACAGCCATCTGATCCCGTCCTAACAGCTAATTTGAAGGTAGAGGCCCTCCTGAACAATGAAGGTGGGTTTTAGGTAGCTGCTGAGGGAGGGGGGCACCTGAATTCCTCCCCAGTAATGCCTAACACCCCAGCCCACATTGGTCGGAAGTATCTACCAGAGCCTCTGAAAAAGCTTTCCAGGGAGTGACTGCAGGGGCAAGAGAGGTCACTAAATTTTCCAACTGTGAATTTCTCTAAGTATACAGTACTACCTCGGGTTACAGAAGCTTTAGTTTACAGACACTACAGGTTACAGACTCTGCTAACCCATAAATAATACCTTGGGTTAAGAACCTTGCTTCAGGATGAGAACAGAAATCGTGCAGCAGCGGCGTGGTGGCAGTGGGAGTCTCCATTAGATAAAGTGGTACCTCAGGTTAAGAACAGTTTCAGGTTAAGAACAGACCTCCAGAATGAATTAAGTTCTTAACCCAAGGTACCACTGTAAATCTAAGTACACACAAAAATTCTTGGAGAGGGGGGATAAAATGGCTAAAGCAGACTGCATTAATTTATGTACATAGTCATACCTTGGATCCCAAATGACTTGGTACTTGGACATTTTGGCCACAAACCCGGAAATGAGTGTTCTGGTTTGCAAACGTTCTTTGGAACCCAAATGTCTGACACGCTTCTTGCGGCTAATCAGAAGCCGCACTTCGGTTTCTGAACATTTTGGAAGTCAAACGGACTTCCAGAATGGATTCCGTTCGACTTCCAAGCTACGACTGCATACAGATAGGGCTTCATCCAGCCCAAAGCTAAGCTCTTTTAAGTTCTATCAAAATAAATGGGGAAAAACCAAATACATAACTAACTCTCACACTGAAAACATACTTAGCTTTGGTCGAATCATGGCCATACAGTTTCTGAGCTTGACAAAAATAAATGGTGTACCTCTGGAGAAGGAAGAAGCCACACAGTAAATTAATTATGTGTGAGAAATGCTAAATGCACCATACCTTGAGTAAAGACAGAAACATTTGTGTAGTTCAAGGAAGGATTTACTAACTCATCAGTTACTCAGTGGAAAAGGATTAATTGGTTTTCATTTTCTCCTACATATTATCAGCCTTTTTTGTTTTCCTCCTGGCTGTTCTGCACTCAAGTACCAATTTTCCCAGTTTTTACAGCATTTGTTATGTGTCCTACCCATCAAAGATACATTTCTCAACTTCAAAATTGCAACATCACTCCACGAGCAAACTCCCAGCTAATTATTGCCACTGCTGAACAACAGAGTCAACGACAACATATAATTGCTTCTTGTCCTTCAGAGAGGGTAAGTGGGATGAAACATTTTGCCTTGAGGCTATTTTGAATGTTCTTAAGGATTTGGTTGTTACCTTAACTTTTCAGATGGTAATTTACTGGAGATTATATCAAGAAACTAAATTATTAGTATTATTTGGGGATGAATGATCTCAAGAAACTAAATTATTGTTATATAGGGGCGAGTGATCTCAAGAAATTAGATTATTATTATTATTAATGTTTCTGCCTTTCTCCCGGAACTAGAACCCAAGGTGGCTCACAAAAATGAAAAGAAAATACATATAGCTAAAAACAGGTCTTTTTTTCAGTGGGAACTCACAGGAACTCAGTTCCGGCACCTCTCAGGTGGGTATCATTGCCATTCTAAGAGAATATTCACGGTGAATTCCGGCACCTCTTTTTCTAGAAAAATAGCACTGGCTAAAAACGTCTAAAAGGTGGTGTTTGTGATTGTTATACAGTCGCACTTTGGCTCCCAAATGTCTTGGGAGTCGAACGTTCCGCCTCCCAAACAATCAAAAACCAGAAGTGAGTATTCCGGTTTTTGAACGTTCTTTTGGAAGCAGAACGTCCAACAGGATTTCCGCAACTTCTGATTGGCTGCAGGAGCCAACACAGATAGCCAACACAGTCCTTCCAGATGTGGTTGGAGTTCAACTCCCATCATCCATTGGTCCTGATGATGATGAGAGCACCGAAACATTCAGAGGGAACAGTGTTGGCTGTTCCTGTTCTAACACTACATAGCCAAGGGATGGGAGAAATAATTTCTTTCTCCAGGCTGAACAGAGAGTGCTCCAGGCCAAGTAAGAGCCAAAATGGGTAGCAGCAACTTGGTAGAGCACCCTCCCAACATTTGCCAAGACCAGAATGATACTTAACAAGTGTAGCACCTCACTTTTTTGGGGGAAGAATTATTTTAAACTGCTGTGGGCAGTGCAGCCCACCTTTGATTTAGACCCAGGATAATAATTTCTTGCTTGCCATATTGAAATAATTAACAAAGAAGCTGACTTTAAAGCAATTCATTTTTGCCTGAAAAGCAAGGGTCCTTTCATCACTTTAGGCATGATTTTAGCTGATTCTGAAAGGTTTAACGGGAACTGATGACTGCGTGTCAGAATGAAACTAGGTTATTAACTATCTTTTCTGAATAAACAGATCTGTCTGGTCTCATCTAACTTCTGCTCTATCTGCATTACTTCTTAATTTCATATAGCATTTCTCCCTTCCTTCATTTCCACCCCTCCCTTTAATATTTCATTTTATGCTTTCTCTGCTCCAGCGAAGCAGTAAAAACGTTAAGTCAGGAGATAAAAGCAGCCACACTAAATTCACGCGCGCTTTCTAAGTAACAAGGAAATTTACCCTCGCTTTTCCTTTTAACTGATAATATTAACACAATGTTATTTTCCACTGTACAAAGCCTCTTTGGTGAAGGGGCTGGACTACGAAAGATAGCAGATGGTAGGTCAAGCTCTTCATCTGGATTACGAGAGGGAAAGAGGTGGCAAACTAGCGAAGCAGAAATACCTGGTAATTAACTCTCTACAAAGCTTCTTTCAAAACTGCAGCCATTTCAAAGTGAGCCAAAGTTCCTCAGGGTGGCAACATGCTGATTTTGACTGGCTCAAAAACTGGGGAGCGAAAGAAGAAGAAAAATAGTTGCCTCCAAACTGGGATGGGTGCAAATATTCAAAAGAGAGTTGGAAATGTGAGGGCCCTTCATCATCATCATCATCATCATCATCATCATCATCATCATCATTTTATTTATATGCTGCCATTTTATAGTTAAAACCAGTGCTTTTTTACAGCCAAAGTACACTGGAGCGCAGTTTTGACACCTCTTAGGTGGGTGCCATTGTGGGCCAATGCTCCCCCGTCTGCTTCATGCCTTTATGTACTTCTGAGAAGCCCAAAATAAACATTTCAAGTCAAAAAGGAAGCTAGCCAGCATGTGCAAGTCTAGGCCTTTTTTTAAAAAAAAATAATCTATGATTCTACCTAGCTCCTAACCGCTCCTAGCTGCAATTGGTCAAGCTACTGAGTGGGGGCAATTCATATTTCCTTTTCTTCAATCCATCTCCAGTGGAGCAGTGGCGGGTTTTAAGCTTTCTAGCCAGGCTTCTACATGTCTGTGCAAGGGCCCTTCTGAGTTGCCCTAGGCATCCACTTGAATCTAAGAGAACAAGGGAGACAGGGGCTGTATGGGAAATCTAGCCAGAAGATATTTGTATTTCGAGGAATTAGTGATCTGACATGGTTATCCTTTCTGCCCCCTGTGCCTTCCTTTTCCCTATCTTTTGTTAAGCTCTTTGATGGCTGAGGACGGCCTTTAATGCCCTAATCTGTGGATGGAAGTGATAGTGTTCCATACCTTCACTTTCTTTGATGTTAGACTTTGTTTGGAGAACGTGAGGCATTGGGAGAGGTGGCTAATGGATAATCTGCACGTAGCCAGTCAAGCAAGCCATGCAGGCTAACAGGATATCTATCTATAAATCAGATGGTGTTGGGCAGAGTCTAAGAAGCTCGTGCATGGACTGATGGCCACAGGGCCGGGCAGTCACTTCGCCACTTCTTGAG